GCACAGCAAGACACGCCAATCGCAACGCACATCACGACGCATGCACAAGGAGGTACACGCAACCACGTGCACATATATTCACACAAAGATCCCCCGTGTAGGCTTAACAGGCTGTAGGAGCAAGGGGCCGTCCATAAATGACTTCACGCACCTAGGGGGGGGGGGGGGGGTCAGACATTTGTGACGATGTGTGACGAGGGGGGGGGGGTTTGAGAAATGTGACATCACATAAAAATGCGCAATTTTAATTAAATTTTGACAAAACGTTCTACTTAATAGACTTTTTAATAAATGTTTTGGGGGGGGGGGGGGGCAGAGCTTTGTGACGTCATATTTGAGGGGGGGGTCTGACTTTTTGTGACGCCGTGTGACGATGCGGGGGACGTCATTTATGGACGGCCCCCAAGTGCTGTTAGCGAGCACCTATAAAGGCCGGCACGGCACAAGAGGGTGGTGGGTGGCCGGCACCACGCCCGCAGGGAGAGGGACACGCAGATGATAATGTGCACCAGGGCCGGATTAAGGCGCGGGGCTTTAGGGGCTGCAGCCCAGGGTGCATCCAGAGATTAAGTGAAAAGTAATTTCATTTGTGAATGCTGAATTGCATTTGTTGTTAGCCTTGTAAAAATAAATTGTATTTTTCTTACACTTTGTTTTCCTTTTGAAAACATTACTGGGGGCCTCACAGTACCTGTAGGCCCAGGGGGGGGGGCCTACAAAATCGTAATCCGACCATGATGCGCACGTACACTTACATATGCGTGAACATATGCTCACATATTTCTACGCGTGCAAATATAAGGATCCTCCAAATAGCCTACGCAGATTTTGCCAAGACATCTATTAAGGCCGCCAGAACGGCGCACGGGAGTGTCCCTTTGTGTCCCCGGTAACGATGCACCGGGCACTCGTTACAGGCTCGAGTCGACCGCAGGCATCGGCGAGTCGAAGCGACGCTGGTTAGCCTTGGCCGGGAAATTTGTGGCTCCAGTTCCGCACGACCCACGCACTACGACTCACCCTCGCGCACGCGCACGCACGCGCGTGGAAATACAAAGACGCGCAGACGCACGCACGCACACAATAAACAAGTGCGCCTCCAAAAGCGACGACTACGAGGCATATTATTATAATTTATTTGATAACGAACGAAAAAGAGAATAACCCACGGTCGCCGTGGCAACAGCCCAGTGTTCGCACTGCGCGGAGAGGAGGCTGGAGAAGGATGATGATGGGCAGACGCGCGCTCCCCAAGCGACCACAAGGATTGTCAATTTATGAACTTCATCCATTTATACATTTTATTAAGGGCTGATGACTATACACGCACGAGCGTGGGATGAGAGCCCCATTGCATCTGGTCTGAATGCAAACATTTTTTTATTGATGTTTTTTTTAAATATATACGCGCATGCGTGCATAGATTGATTTATATGTTCACCGTCTTGCCGATAGCAATCAATGACGTCAATGAAATTCAACTTGCTGGTGGAGGTCGCTGAGTGTCTTAACGCATGAGCTCTGAGCCGGCACCGCTGAGAGAGAGTTTCAATGAATCAGGGTGTCGGTTAGCCCGTGACCAAAACCGGGTTTCACATGCGTAGCTAGTTTTATGGTCTCAGACCTGTCACAAATTAACCGCTTAACATTCATTTGCTTTTGTCTTTTTAATTTGGCACAACAAGGGGCACTAATGGACAAATGCGATTCATGTGGTGGTGGAGGCAGTGGTGCTGGTGGTGGTGGTGGGCCGTTTATGAACAGTGGAATGGATACATCTTGGAGGAGCGAATGTCAAGATTGAGAGGCGCAGCACAACCGCCAGGCGAAAACGGAACCTCGACCAAGACAAGGAATGGCACCAGAAATAAAAAAAAGATACACAGCACAAGCAGAGCCGTGCAGCATTTGACACACGTCCATGCACAGCCCCTTTGCGAATCCACTTCTGGACGAGGGCACCATTCCCCCTCACTCTGTGCAAGTCGTGGCGGTTTACGTGACAATAAGCACCTCAGTACCGTATCTTTGGAATCATGGAACAATATAAACGCAGATATATTACCATACTTCACCACCCTGGTGAGTGCGGGTTGGTGAATGTGAAGAACATTAACGTGAGAGCATAGCAGTGGAGTACTGTACAACAATTAATTTTGCTGTCCTGCCCTCTGCTGCCCACCACGTAGCTTCGCAGGCCATCACAACCTCTTGCTGTGCATGGCAGTTGCCCATCCGAATACTATTCAGGTTCGGCCCTGCTTAGTTTTCGAGATCTGATGAAATCAGGAGCATTCCGATTGATTTCGTCCTAGGCAGTGGGAGGTGAGATTGGTCAAACGAAGTAACCCAAATGGAGTTCTATGTGTCACCATCTGCGGCTGGTTCCTAACTTGACATTGCACTGCTCTGCTGGGGGAGGTAAAGAAGGACAGAGCGTTCAACGGTATGCAATCATTCCGATATCACAACACGGATGGGGGCTGGGGTGGAGTGTTTGACTCACAGTTGTAGAATTGCGAGCTCCAAATCCGCACTGCCAATAGACGTAGCCTCTACTTGGTGGGAAGCAAATGGTGGTTGTCTTATTGATAAAGTGGTTTCTGCCACAGTAGCATGGAATTCCTACCACGCAGGCTCAGGTCAGCTCATGGAAATGAGTCCTGCACCAATGCTGGTTGTAACAAAGAACCACTGACTAGACTTGATTATGCAAAGCTGACTGGACCAACGGCAGTGTAAGACAGGCCACCTTTGACCCATGCCTTGACAACAGAAGGCCACGTGACCAAAGGACATCTCCATAGCTCTGAAATAAAAGGTAAAGATGCAGCCCTGCAATTGCTCGCTCATGCCGTTGCTGACGGAAGGGCCTCCGATAGAGGGAGCTCTAGAGAACCCCTTTGCAGGGCATTTGGCCTACTCTTCTACGCTGGTCAGACGTCTTGGGAGGTAGAAGTACCCACCCTTCAACTCGCCACATGTGACCTGCCGATTAACCAACAACCGTGGCGTTCCCATTTATACTGCTGAGTGGACAGGGGAGGTGGGATTTAATGTGACTGACAAAACACCTAAGGTGACATCCATTGCGGGAATCGGTCAGCAGGCCCGCTGCGTGTGGGAATAACAAGCTGAAATAAAATCTCTAAACGAGGACAAAACCCATCATAACCGAAAGCGTGGATCGGATTATTCATAACAAACTGACTTTTATTTTTTTGGTGGTAAAGACATCTCCACTGATGAGTCCCCACGACGCCCGAGCCACTGTGAAATTGACGTTCGTGGCTGCAACAGAAAAGGAAGCGTGCGTGCACGGGAACAGCAGAGCTTGGTTCCCCCTTCAACAACCCCCCTTACCCCCCCGTGGTTACGTTACACCCCCAGGCAAACTAAAACACGTAACGATGCAAGAGCTCGTCTCCGAACAGCTTCCACCGCCAACGCCAATTAAAAATCCAGGGCAGGGAGTTGTGCGAGGACACGCTCCCAGTGCCTCGATCGTTTTTGCACAGATTTGCTGCAAAAGCAATTTGTGCAAGAATGCTTTCACGCATCCCAGCGACGGCAGGAGAAACAGCCACCACATCACGGCGTTTTTTAAAAAATCCCAAATGTGACGCTTTCCGACGCGTTAATCGAAGGATGGCTGCACCTGCTCCAGAAATGTAGCGGCATCGGTTGACCGATTTCGTAGTCACGGTCAAGAGTTTCAAGGTGAGATCAGATCACAACGAGGATGGCCTGTAAATGAGCAGGACCTATTTAACGGTCCCTCTGTGACTTGCCAAGCTTTCTCCATGGATTTTTTTTTTACATATGCGACGGTCCTGTCATGTACACGCTTTCAACCTGCGCTTCATTGCCACACTTTTCTCTTATATATACACGCTGCTCAGTAATACGGCCTTAGCATGGAGTTAGGGAACTTGACGGTTTATCTCAACAAATTATTTCCCCCCCCAGAAGATACGTGTATTTTCATAATTACTGTGTACATCACGAAAGTCAGGTGACACTGCTCGCAGTTGAGCACTTGGCTCGCAGTTGGGGCAGGTTGCGAGTTTAAACCCTGGGCTGCTATTCGATGTGCGCTTCACACCCCTTGCTTGTGCCCTTCAGTGGCAGGTCCACCGCCTGTTTAGGCTCAATCCTGCCACGTGCCGTTCAACGGCAGCCAATGCCCGCTGACGAGGGGCTTGCCGTAAGTGGAGTGAGAGGTTTGGAGAGACGTGACGTATGAGTACTGCAATGTGGATGTTTTAGCAAGAAATGTTCGCGGCAAAGGAAGGTGGTCATTTGAAATATTTACTGTATTCTGGGTGATATCTGTAGCAAGGAAGGAAAATCACACATACGCATGGGCCCCGACACGATTGCCAACATGTGTTTGTCCTCGGAAGCACTGCATTTAATTGGCTACAATTAACTTACCTTTTGAGTTACAAAATGTTAACATCACATGGCACGGGGTGAAGTGTGGATGTCTCGAGATGACATCCCACATCATGACATCATGGGGAGGGGCTTGGTGTGTGAGGTCATAAACCTTGGCTGGAAAGGTTACTCGCTATCGATGCCTTCTTTTTGCCAAGCCGTGGGTAAATCTTTAATAAATCTGCCCGGTTTTCTAGAGGGTACATCCCTAATAGCAACACAACTTCAAACGAACATTTAATTTAGATTAGATCATTTGTGCGAGAGTTATCGTAACCATCACCCCAACACAGACACGTGGACAGAGCTAATTAATTAACCCTCTTAACGACTTAACCTGACTTGGGCAGTATTGCAAAATTGTCAGTTTCCGTAGGTAATAACCATTCAACTCTCTGGGTGGACATTCTTGACAGTGGCGAACGGGACGACTCTGTTGTTGCAGGTGATGTTGATGTTAGCGCGGCTGGTGATATTGACATGGCTGGTGATGTTGACGTTGGTGTGGCTGGTGATGTTGACGCTGCTCGGGATAGACGATGTTCACGTTGCGCACGAACCTTGTGCTTCTGCTCTCGCTCCTTGCCCACTCGTGCCATCAGCTGTCCCTTGCGGCGGTTGAGGGCGTCGACGAGCGCGTCGCATTGCGCCACGAGGCAGGCCTCCAGCTCCACGCCACTTTCCTGCCCCACAAAGACAAAGATCTCCCGTATAGCCGTAAAAGACTGTAGGGGCAAGTGCTGCGAGCGAGCACCTATGAAGGCTGGCACAGCACACGAGGGGGCGGGTGGCCAGCGCCACGCCCGACCGCCTTTGTCCGCCAAGCGGCGAAGTATACCCGCTGCACCAGCTGCTCCTTTGAGGCCGACTCGACCTAGGGGAGGCTCAGGACCGGTTTAAATTGTCGTCGCCGGTGTTGGCCATGAGCGGGAATCGAACCCGGGTCGCTGGGTTCGTAGTGCAGTGTGATAGCCGCTACACTACCACTCTCCACAAACACATGCACAGATGGACACGTGACCCCAGGAGTCTTGCAGTCCCAGTTGCCAAAGTGTTACGAATAGGGTTGCCATGTGTCCTGGTTATCCCCAGACCGTCCAGCAGTACAACCAGGAGAACGCACCGGAGAGATTTAAGGTGAAAACTGCCTCCCTTCTTAAAGAAGCAACGGGTCAGTGCTTATATTTGTTGGTGGCCATGAGGCTCTAGTGAAAATCCACATTTCCATATTGTGGGGGCCGAGAACATCCACATGAATATTCAACTGCGGCCCATTGAACACCAGCTACACAAGCGCAGTCCAAGTAGCCTTTTCTCCGCAGCCATATCTACAAGAGGGCATTTGCTTCCCCTCGCGGTGGTGCCGGTGGGGGGAGGCGATAAAGACACTGGAGGATGAGGGGAGGGGCACATTTAAAGCTCCATCAATCATTGCTCGTCACGGCTGTCCTCTCCAAGAACAGCTTGTGTGCAGGCGTACGTGCATGGGTATACGGCTGTCTAGTGTGTGTGTGCAGTGGTGCAGTGGTTTGTGCGCTCTGCTACAAACACTGGCGACCCAAGTTCAATTATCGCTCGCAACATCAGTGGCGAATATCTGAACAGATCCTGAGGCTTCGCCTAGGTCAACGCAACCTGAAATTAATAAATGAATACCTGGTGCAGTGTGTACAAATCAGCACTGGGGAGACATTTTAATGTTGTGAGATTAACACTGGTGGTGCTGCCCAAGCAGTAATGCATTTGGAGCGTTTGATTCACGTGACACTTTTATGAATTGGCTGCGTCGGGTGGAGGAGGCTTTATGACACACACATTTCTTTTACACGACCTAACCCAAAATAAACCAATTATGAATCATATTGGTGGGGAAAGGCTACGTAATACGAATTAAACAATGTGATGTGTATGACGCATTTACGTGAGCACAGCCCGACTTGTGAAATATCAAGTGGCCTTTCCTTTGCAGGCTTTGCAGAGTTCAGAAAATGCCTGTGCCGAACCGAAAGCACTCCCAGTTGGCTATCCAGTGGTATGAAAAATACGATAATTGGCACAACAGTGCCAAATCAACCAATTAATTTACAAAATATGTGTCACAAGTATGGGATGTGTGGGCTAACATCACAGCGTTATTATCGGAGCCCCTCTAACAGCACGCGACACAATCAGACGACACATTTGGCCCTACCACATTGGAAAGAACGGCGCTTATTGGAGCCTAGAGGGTGGGATGTTATACACACCCGTTTGTGATGTGTACTTGGGAAAAGTCATCAGTCTACGATTGCTGATTAGCCATGGCTGTAAGAGTAATAATCATCATTAAAAATAACAATCCATGATCTATCCACCGCTGGATGAAGGCGTCCCTAAGCAGTCTCTCACGTTTTTTGTGCTACAACAATCCACTTGGTTCCTGCACACACGCTGATTTCGTTCACTTGGGTGCGTTTCCTCCTTCAGCTGCCGCTCCATCATTAAGTCTACACCGTAGGGCATCATCCCTTCCCGGCGATGTGTCCTGCCCATGGCCACTTACATCGACATGATTGCTCTGCTTCGAGTTTTCTCTCCCATCCACGCGCTCGTCTCTCTTGTCCCTCGGTGTAGTTACAAGCGTGCACACTTCTCCATTCTAATTTTGCGCACTTCAAAGCTTCCGTTCCGTGCTCGATCTCAATGTCAGTGGTTCCCGATGCACGCATCGTAGCAGGCAACGTACAAAGCGACGAAATTAAGAAGTCACATAGAAGGGAAACAATAAAATAATAAAATATTTTTTATGCGTTGTGGCCGAAACGTCGTGAGAATTGTATCTTATTATGTTTTATTTTTATTATTTTATTATTTCCCTTCTACGTGACTTTACCGAAAGAACCAAGAATATGAATCCCTGCAGTCACAAAAGCTTTAAATCAGAAATAAAGGCGGTTGCTGGGATGTGAAGAGATTCGAGTGCTTTTGGAAAATGCAGCCAAAGAATCACAAGGAAGGCTCAAATGTGCATAGAGAATGAAGGCGTAGTAGAACACACGTTAATCCTGCGACTGGGGTTTGCAAAGTTGTCGGGTTATTTCATTGCGTGAGAGATTGCTTTCTTCACATGAACCTCTGTTAGGCCGATAAAGCGTGGAAATGAGATCAGGATGCTACGCTGCCATTCTCCAATACCCCCCCCTCCCCCCGCATACGCGGTCAGTGTCACCTTGTGCTTGTTTTTATATTACTCTGTAATTTACAATAGAAAATATGACGGTTATCTTAAATTAATCAGCTGGTTATCTGATTCATTGATTTGAAAAAAAAAATCATCTACGGCCCTTTGTCAATCCACTGCAGGAAGTAGGCCTCGCCATGCCCTGGCCAGTAATGGTGGTTGTTTCACCATACTTCACCACTCTTACGGGCTGAGATTTGTGAAGCTTGGGGTTGGGGGGCAGGAACAATTCAGTTACCATTCGCCACTGATATCAATCCACAGCTGGGAATTGAACCCAAGCGACCGGGTTCATAGCGCAGTGAGAAAACCACTGTGCTGCTGCTCCTCCAGGATTAATCTGATTACACACTGGATGAAGGGAGTTACAAACAAAAAATACAGAGCGATGGGATTCTGTCTCCAGAAATCTGATTACAGCCGCACGTTATTCGCAACACGTTACTCCCATAAACCGCGTGTCATGTAGATGAGAAATTCTTATGCTTCCCTTCTCCGCGAGTCAAAGTGAGTCTCCGCGACGGCTGAGTGACACCGGGTCAGCGCGTGTCTTCCACACGACGCCCAGGGGCCGATCGAGCTGAGGCCAATCCCATGGCACGCCACCCCCAGCCGGGTTCCCACGACCAGGCGGAGGGTGCGCGGCCACGATGCCACTGCTCGCAATCGCTTAGTCTCGTTGATTAGGTCACACAATAACCGTCGTAAATCACACTGTCAGGCCAATCAGTCCCATGCGAGGCAGCCACCGACTTGCACACAGTCGCTCGGCTAAATCCTGGGAGGTAGGGGTTAGAGTAGCAATGCGAGTTAAGCGCACGTTAGAGCACAGAGCCAGCACTGTTGTGATTACTCGGCCTGGTATCGAATCTCAGGTTTACTGCCCAAGATAAATTCAGGTCGCCGTTATTAGCGAGCCCAAGGACAGAGACGGTCACTGCATCGCGTGCTTTCGGATGCGCTTCTGCGGCCATCTGGAATGCTCTTCCTTCAGATATTTAGGAAGCCACTGGAGCTATGCAGCTTTAAATCTACATTGAAAGCTCATTATCTTTAGAAGTGCTTTGTGTTCAGTTTGTTGCCCTTCCCCCCCACACCTCCGATGAGCACGGTTGGCTACGTACGGTGCGAAAGAAGTTCACCATACACACGCACATACATGCATAGTTCTTCCGACTGAGCCATATGCTCCACACGGGCACCGCCCGTTTGGGTGGATTAATCACGCTTCGTCTCGCGTCCACATCCCTCCGCTCCCCCCAGTCAAGGTGTCCCCCACACCCCGGAGCTAACCTGAATCTGTGTGGCTGCGTTCTTCAGCTGCCCCAAGAACTCCTTGGCCTCCTTGGCTCGGTCCGATAGTCCAGTGAGGGCCTGGGAGAGCTGGCCCTGCACACAAATGGAGGCACACATGTGAACACCACTTGTCGTGATCCCAACAAAGCACATAAACAATCACAAACACGGCCACCAACAGTTCCAATTGATACAGCGTCTAAATGCAATCACATTTCAAATGAAGGTCAACACTACATTGCTTGGTTAAATCTGTCTTGTTTGTTCTGTTTTTATTTGTTCCGTATGCCGTGTATTGTCTGTACCGTTTGTATCGTTTGTATCATCTGCCTCGTGTGAATGCTTGTCTCAATTGTTCGGTCTCATTTGTAGCGTTACGTTTGCGTTGTTCGCATAGAGACACAAGGCCCCTCACGTTTACGCAGAATGGTGTAGGTGAAACTACTGTACACGTTTTGTTCACGTTCTATCTGGTGCAGAATTTAATTCCATCAGCTGTCCTGTGATTTGCAGGTGGCTACGTGAATTTGGGAGCTAATTTCCACATCACAGGGCTGAGCTGGCACGTTTGAAAACCACACCACACGATTAACCAAATTATCAAGTGTGGCAAGTTCATGGTCTCGCCGTGCTCACCGGTGACTTGCACACAAACAATTTAATTAAATTCCGTTTGATTGCAACACAAATCTTCCACAAGACGCGTGAGTGCACCTTGTAGTTTGGACACGAGGTCTGTTTTGAAAAAGACGCGGTTCGTGAGCTGCTTCCCACCAGCCCGTGCGGCCCTCAGTGAGTGACTCACGACCTGCAGCATCGATCGCCCTGAATCCGCCGTTTGTTATTCACCAGCAGCCGGTCCGGCACTGGGGACCGACCGCGTTCCTTTCCGCATGAGCCAGAACGGTGAAGTGGATCAGACCAGAGCATGTTTGGGGGGGGGGGGGGTAGCACCAACGGTGGTGGAGGACTGAACGTGGCAGTGCATCCAGTATTTTACAGAAACAAGGAAACACGTTTCCCAGAAGACCTGGGGTCTGCTTTGAGAAACATTTTCCAGAAGCAAGTTGCCTCAAGCCAATCGGAAGAGACTGTGTGTGGAACATGAGCCATCGATCATGTGACTATGCACCTGCTTCAGGCGCAGTTTTCCAGGTTGGGCTGCACGTTGAGCGTTTCTTCTCTAAAGCTTTTGCCGCGCACTGCCAAGGGCATCTTGAATTCAACTCCGACGTGATGGGGGTGAAGGAACAAATGCTCAACGTGCAGCCTAACCTGACAACCCACAGTTGGAATATGAGCGGCTGCAAAAAACCTACTCCTGTTAAATATATGCACGTGCTGCTTGTAAAAGTTTCCCGGCAATGCGTGCTGACAATTCTTGAAGAAACGTGTTTCTGGCGGAATGTTTCCCCATCTACGCTCGGCTTGGCACCACGTACACTCCACCCAATGTCTGGTGGAAAAACGCAACAAAATATACTCCCAAATGGGCCCAGGCATAAAAGGGGGCAGCAGTGGTGCAATCACATGATCCAGTCCGAGATGGAATCCATCCCTCATGAGCAGATCTGTCCCATATTGCCCTTATACAAATGCACTATTACAAAGATAAATACAAAGATCCCCCGTATTGCCTACATACTGCTGGTGCAAGTATTGTTAGCGAACGCAAGGGGACGGTGTGGCTAGTGCTGATGTTTACACGCCATGCCAAGTACTCGTTTCAGCGTGAGTCGAATTAGGAAGGCCCAGGAGCAGGTTAGACATCACAGGCCAATGTCCGGGAATCAAACCTAGGCGAATGGGCTCGTAGCGTAGCATGCTAACCACGACGCCACCATTCCACCCCGATAAGTAAACAAAGACACAACTAAAAGCGAAGATTAATTTCTAAGACCACAACAAGGGCGGCATACAATACAGCAAATGAGGTGCTGTCAAGGCGCCTACACAATGCAACAGTCACACAACGTACATGGTTCAATACAACACAACCCGGCGGTGCAACGTGCAAGGCCCATGTGACATCAGCTGGCTTGAATATGGAACTCGAGGTATCAAACATTTCCTGCGCAATTGCATCACCATAACTCTCCAGGGGATCTTTGTTGAAGTCTCAGAGGGGGGGGGGGGGGGGGGGCGGTTCTTTCCTGGCCCACAGAAAATCTGAACAATAAACCATCACTTTCTTTTTGCCTGGTGCAGTTAGCTTCCAGGCATATGGGACAACAACATTGGAAATAAAATGTATTTGCGGCAAAGACATATCTCAGCTGAGTATCAAATGAACACGTCAGACCGAGTATTTAAGTGAGAACATTGGCATGTAACTATGCCCCTCTAAAGACCATATGCCTCATTATCTTGGGCATCGGTGCCACATCTGTTAACATGAACATCAGTGCACAAATGGAAATGTACTTTGAAGAAAAGGTTTAGGGGTTTTAGGTCAGGATCAGTGTTCATTCGCATGCATGTGACAATGCCACTTAGGGTGTGCAATCCAATCAGTGTAAATAAAATTCAAGGTGTCTCCTTGTTCATATGAGCATTGGACAACAACTCATCTGCATTACCAGCCGTTGAGCCAGTGGTGGAAATTCCGCAGTCACATTATTATGTCCAGTCTCTGCACAGGATGACCTCTGCGACTTCTCGTCCAGTTGTGGATCTAAGGGGGAAGGATTGGGGAGGGGGGCATGAGGGTGTTTGCACCCCCTGCCCCTTGAGGCCATGAAATTTGTAGTGCATTGATATTTACGCTTTGAATGTTTTTATTTTACGAATGAAAGGCCCAATTAATGAAAGGCCAAATTTAAAAAAAAGGCTTGGCATTTTTGGACCGTCCTCCCCCCATTCCCCTTTGGGATCCACCTCTGCTTCCCATAAAGGGTATTCATTGTACTAGATAATGACAATGAGCTTCATCGATCCACAAATATGATTTTGAACCTGTGACCTGATCGTGAGACGGGTGCTATGCCAACTCTCTTATCAGCCAAACAGATCAGTGTCATCAGTTAGACATCACAGGCCAATGTTGACTATAGATATTGTATACAACCAGACGCATAGACCTCTGGCTCTAATAAATATACATTTAACAAATACAATCGGGTTACAGTTTGGGCTGGAGCTCCGGTTAGGACTAGGTCTGAGTCTTTCGTTATTAATGCTCGCATCATTGCAGTGCGCCTCATCTTCGCGTTACTGTGTGTATCACGTTTTGCATCACTGCGGCCTCATCTTTGGCATGAAGGAGTGCTCGGCTGGAGGGACAGGGGACGATGGGGGTGGAATTAACAAACAAAAAACTGTTGGGAGGAGGGAGGGAGAGAGGAAGGTGGGGGAGGGAGGGTTGAACGAGGCTAGAAAACGGGGTGTGGCTACATCTCATCCCATTCTTTCGCTCCTCCATCCCTGGCTCAGTTGCCCCGGAAACCGTTGCCATGGAGGTCATTTATTACTCTACTGAGGGTTACCATTGCTGCGCGTTACCGCGGCGCGTGCTGCTGCCGAGGCCATTTTCAGGCGACCGAATTCAGGTAAAAGGACCGCTGCTTTCATCAGCCAAAAGCCACCACCACCGCCGACACACACGCAATCTTTCTCCCTCATAATCGCCCTTGTGCTCACCCTACGATGCGACAATCACGCCAAAAGTGTCTCACTGCCCAAATGGGCAAGGGGCAGTGCTCACCTCCATTGGCAGCCCTGAGCCAATGGTGTAAATGTCACATTCCCACGACAGAGATGAGTCAGTCTCTTTATAGGACAAGCACTGCGGACTCACGACCATCCAGTTGTGCGTCAAGCCCTTTCCCAGAGTGACACGTGACCAAATCCCTCTGCGCCTGGCGGTGTGCAGGGCAGGGATAGGCGGGGAGGGCTGTCTGGAAAGTGCTCCACTGGCATGCGTGACGTTTCGACTCTCCCCTTTATTGAAAATCCACCAACCATGTACATTAATTGCTTTTCAAATGGGGCCCTAAGCCAGGGGAGGTCTTTATGTAGAGAGGGCCCACAGCAGGAAATCATGCCCCCCCCCCTTTCCTCAAGCCACATTTTCACTATTTTCATCATTTCAGCACTTCGGCCCAATTTTATAATTGATTACATAATTGTACGTGAGAGGTTTGATTTAATTGAGTCCCTTGAGCAAGCTGAAAGATCTGTTCAAATGCCACTGGATACCAAATTGCTCACAGTAATAAAGGCAATGAATGCCTCTCTGCTCATACAAGCAATGGAATGGCACTCATCAAGGCTGCCACAGCACCGAGTGGCATTTCCTCTACGGGCCAGACCTTACAGAAGATAATGAATTCGCTCCAAACCAGACCAAAAGACACTCGTAAACATTTATTTGAGAATTCCAAAAGTCAATGCATTTAATTTCTTCTTTTTTCCTTTCCAGCAATAAAACCTATTCTTATTATGTATGCAGTATGTCATTGCCTGGCATAATGATTAACAAAACCAAAGAAATATGAAAAGTCGGCCAATACAGAAGTGCAGCTTTCTGGATCATTCACGCTCTACCCTCTGCCCCTTGCACCCTATTGCGATTCACAAAATAAGAATGTTAAGATAATAATGAAATAACAACACCATTATGGGGATTACTTGACACAAGCAAGCTGAAACATAACCCCTTTATTTACACCGGACAGATCCAATAATACGTTACGTCTATCCTTTTTTTTTTCAGGGTACGTGAAACTCTGCAACCACAGAAATTAAGGAAAATTACTCAATTGTGTTTTTTCCACGAGCAATGTGGCGTGAAATTGTGTGCGTTAACACTCAGAATCGGAGATTTAATTGACCGGGCGTGAACGGCGCTGCGGTTAGAGTGATCAACTCATTCCTTCTCAAAGTTCAAATCCTGGTCAAGGGTCGACTCATCCACGAAAGTCAATTAAACATAAAAAGCATTTTGTGGAAAGTCAACGACAGAGGTTGTTCCAGGGGTGACCTCACCCTCACCGCACGAATGTGGAATTTCCACCTCTTCCTCAGGGAAATCAACCGATATGAGCGACGCCTCATTGCTCATTCGAGCACAGAGACGCTGGCTGCATTTGCACAGTCATCAGAAACCAGCCAGAGCCGCAGCGGGACCACTATGGGTCACGCCCTGAACAGCTCCTTCTTATCCCATTGCTTTGGCTCAAGGGTTCAGCTCCCCCCCCTCCACTTAACTCCTCTCACATCCCGCCTCTCCCTTCTTCAAGAAAAAAGCTTAACGCATGATTTGGTTTCCTTACTCCCACCCAAGGCGAATGTCTACACTTGCGTAATTTTTTTGCCGAACCCTAAAAAAAGTCACGCACAACCCTACAGTTGACCTAAGCCAGAGACGACATTGAAGGCGTGCGTCTCTGTGATGTCACAACTCGTTCCAAGGACGGTTCTGACTAAAAGCGCAAAGCCCACTTGGAAAAGCGAGCTATGCGGCCCGGAAAATGTGAGCCACCTGACCTGGTTACACCTCAATTGGAAGGCTGCCGTGGGTATCCAAGCCAAGCCCTCTGGCACAGTTCACGAAACCAGACGAGCCCCATTTGAATTTGTCGTGGGAACGTGGCAACTATGGGTTATTTTCACATTATTGTCCGACTTTCGACAAAGATGTGCAGATGTCTCCTTTCCTAACCACGACGCCACAAACCCACTACATCAGAGAACCCGTTACTCATCATGGGTGACTGCCATGGTTCATTGCCCTGAACCTTAAGACTTGCCAGCTCATTGCTCTGATCACTGAGCCATCCATTCAGCGACAGTCCCTGACAATTCATGTAAAGGACCATCTTCCCAAACAAAACATACCCTGACTCGTTCCCCTGCAACGCAGTTCTCTCTCTCTCTATAACTCGCAATGAACATATGCATTCAGTTTGTTTCAGCGTAAGGCAATGCTGGCCCCCAGGGATCTTTCCAATCATAATTTACTCCACCAGCCCCCAGCACACAATCACGCTCTCCAAATTAAAAGCCTTTCATCTAAGTAGGTGCCTCAGGAGGGTCATAATAATGGCTCTGCCATAGCATCAAACAAGCATTACTGAGATCGCGGATTCAAACACAGGTGACCACCAGAGATTAAATCAGATTACCATGTGTACTCTGTTTAATGGGCTCAGCCTGCCCACGAATGTGAACCAAAACTCCCACCACACAAATGAGGCTTTTCACCTTCGTTTTGCCTCACCTTGATCTCAGGAGTACAATGTAAACTGCTGTGAGCATTCCAGACTGGAGTTCGGAGACTCGGGTTGGGTCGGAGAAGTTTGTTGCAGTAACACCAGAAGTAGTTCAGTCATGCCACCTTCAATGCCATTCAGCGACATGTCATGTGACCCAGGAACATGTGACCAGAGGAGTTATGTAACAATATCTATTTGCCTCAGGAGTCCATAAAAGTGAAAGCCCAAAGTCAAAATTGCTTGCTGCATTTACGAGCAATGGGGGCCAGTGATCATATTGGTCGGTGGCCATTAGTCAGGAGTGGAAATTCCACATTGCCATGGTGGGGGCCAATTTCTCCATCGTATGCGTTCCGTTTCTTTCTCACAAAGTGGCACCAATAGCAATTGGTGTGTGTGTGTGTCTATATATAGTGGGGAGCGGTGGCACAGTGGTTAGTGCAATGCACTACGAACCCGGCGACCCGAGTTCGATTGCCACTCACGTCGAACACCAGTGATGATTATCTGAACCGGTCCTGGACCTCCCCTAGGTAAACTCAGCCTTGAATGTGTACCCTGGTGCTGTGTGCAAACATCGCCATTGGTGAGACAAAGGCGGCCGGGCGTGGTGTTCGCCACCCACCCCATCGTGTGCCGTGCCGGCCTTCATAGGTGCTCGCTAACAGCACTTGCCCCTGCAGTCTGTTAAGGCTGAGGGGGATCTTTGCCTTTGTATATATTATGAACACTACTACACACTCTAGTACAGCCTTCTAAAGACCGTTTCTCAACATAACATTTAATCACTCAACCAATTCTAAACGCTGCTTGCCTTGGGGCAACTGCCTATTTAGTTGCTTAATTGGGAACTGGGGGTCAAGGGTCACGACTGGAGACCGATGGCTGGAATCATAATGGCCATGAGGCTGTGCTTCCGTGTGGCTGATGTGCACACAGCTGCAGTTGAACAGTTAATTTCTAAATATAGTTTAAATACAGTACGCATTTATTTTATACGGAAACGTCTCACCTATTTTCAAAATTCTCTTTCCGCTTTGTGGTGTTCGGCCAATACTTTATAGAGGAGTGCTTTTTTGTGCGGAAACAAACTGCAGATCCTGGATAAAAACCGTGCATGCGAGCCAACGGCGCTCAAAAGTCCATGCACGAGGGTCGTGGACGTACTTGCTGGACTGCAGTCTCCTCCTCACTGCACCGGCTAAAATGTACGTTCTTCTGCCGAAGCAACGTGCTGTCCTGACTAAAGCGCAATATTGGTTCCAGTCGTCTATGCTGATATTTGCGCACAGCACTGGCCACTCATGGTTCACCCGCGGAAGCGATTGACATTCCATTGTGGCAATAGTCAAGATTCGAATTCTGCCGTTTTCAGGATTTTCTCTCTTTCTGTTTTCACGCGACGCACGGACGAGGGAGTGCTCACGCGAAACCGGCGAGGGAGCAGATGAATGGATCGGCATGCGAAAGTCGGAGGTTTCATCAGCGCAGGTTCTCCACTGAAGGGGCCTTTAATTGAAAAGCAAAACAGATGCCCGAGAAAAACATTCCTCGTGAGACCACGGTGCGGCTACACTGCCATACTGTACATCGCCACAAGATTGCAATTAATCAATTAGCACCCTTGCAAGCCACTTGTGCAGGTGCTAGATTGCTCGTTGTATCGCAAGACCGTGAGACACGGCAAAGGCATAGGAACGGATCTCATCTGGTAGTGGATGAAGCAAAGCCAATGGCGATGAGGATGTTCATGCTGGGTCCAGCAGTAAAAGCCAAGGGCGATCTTTGTCCATTCTCACAGCGAGGAGCTGTCACATTCAAAACCGATGCCTCTCTCTGCCACCATATGGGTGAGATCATCTAAGAAAAAAAAACTATCACCAGTACCAGTGATATTGATATTTCAATAAAGTTACCCGCTGCAGTGTGGGAGGCAAAGGTGGCCGCCCGTGGTTCCGACCATTGCCGGCTCTAATAGGTGCTCACGAACAGCACTTTCCCGACAGCCTCATGGTCGACTTCATTTCATGCGACCCGCGGCCACGCACGGTCGGCCACTTTGGAAGCGGCCCTTTCACGAGCGTTTCTGAGCCGAGCATTGGAGCAGCACTCACCGGGTACCAGAGGGCAATATTATCGAGCCGGAAACATTGCATCTCTCATTTTAGCCCCACGCTCTCGGCCCTATTTATTTTTCCTGTCATTATTGAACAGGACTAACGTGCGTGACGATGCGTGGCCCGCGAAAGATAAGCAAACGTCCAGTTCAGCCCTCGGTAAGGTTAAAGGGAGGAGCACGTGTGTGTGCGATCGCGCGTGCGCGTGTGCATTCGTGCGCGAGTGCATTCATGCGTACGTGAGCGCGTGCGTTTGTTGCGTGCGTGCATCCGTGCAAACTCGCCCTGCTCCTCCTCCTCCTCACCTTGTGCAGCTTGCACATGGCCCCGAGGGCGCGCACCTCGTGGCGTGCGTGCTTGCCCTCCTCCAGGCACTGGTAGCACACGGGCGCGCGGCACGGCACGCAGTACATGGAGTGGCTCTCCAGCTCGTGCTCCGCGCACGTGGCCGGGCGCCGCGCGGCCGGCGGCCCCAGCGCTCCCAGCCCCAGCAGCCCGGCGCCGACCGCGGCCCGGGCGGCCGCCCCCAGCAGGGGCTGCTGAACCCCGGCCGACTGGGGCTCGGCTTGCGTGGTGGACGACGCCGACGCCGCCGCCGCCGCCGCCGCCGGCAACGATGCGGACGAAGCCGACGCATCGTTCGCAGCCGGTACCGCCGCCGACGCCGACGTGGACGATGCCGACGCGCGCGCCTGCAGCACCAGCGCCGGCGGCAGCAGCCGGTGCTTGGCCAGGGGGCCCCGGGCCGGGTGGCAGCGGCTGCGGCACGCGTCGCAGTAGAGCACGTCGCACTGCTCGCAGAGCACGCTGGCGGGCCGCGCGGGGCTGCGCTCGCACATCTGGCACTGCAGGGCGCGCGCCCGGCCGCGCTGCGCGACGCGGTCGCACACCGCTTCCAGCACGCGGTTACGGGGCAGGGCCCGCAGCCCGCGCTCGTCCAGCAGCAGGCTGCGGTGGCACTGCGGGCACGTCAGGCACGAGTTGCGGTGCCGCTGCTGGACCGCGGTCGCCTGCTGCTGCTGCTGTTGCTGCTGCTGCTGCTGTTGCAGCAACTGCTGCTGCTGCTGCTTCTGTTGGAGGATGTGGTGCTGCTGCAGCAGCTGTGCGTGCATGAGGGCGTGCTGCGGGTGCAACTGGCTGTGGTGCTGGTAGGAGGGAAGCGGGGGCCGCGGCGCCGCGCTCGGCACGGGGGTCGGCGGGAACACTCGCACCCCGTTCGGGGACAGCTTCGGCAGGACGGCCACCGCCGACGACAGCGAGGAGGAGGAGGACGCGGAGGAGGAGGAGGACGACGCTGCGGAGGAGGAGGATGGCGTGGTGGCCATCGGCGCGTTCGGCGTGCCGGGGCTGGTCAGGTAGCCCCCGAACGAGCCGTAGCCGCTGTCCGCCTCGCTGTGGAGACTCATCTTGTCCAGCTCCAGGTAGTCGTAGTCCGAGCCCGAGGGGGACACGCGAGGAGCCACCGCGCCGTTTGCCACCACGTGCTGGAGTTGCGACGCGCTCCCCGCGCCCGCCGCTGCTGCCGCCGCCGCTGGTGCTTGAGATGTTCCTGGCACCGGTGCTACCGGCTGCTGCTGCTGCTGCTGCTGGTGCTGTGCTGGTAGTTCCCCATCGGGCGTCTGCACGAGGATGTTGCGAGCGCACGCCAGGCACAGGTTGTGCGAGCAGGGCAGCAGCACGGGGTCCCGGTACATGGCCCCGCACACCGGACACTTGAGCTCATCCTCCATGTCTTCCATGGGAGATGAGGAGCGGGGGCCGCGACGGGCGGGGGTGGGGCTCAGCGTGCTGGCGGAGGGGACGGGGGATGAACGACAAGAAAAATTTCACATCATTCGTGATCGATCAAGAGGGGCACCACGATGGCGAGATGTTAAATACCTTGCCTGCAGGAGGTCGTGGGTTCGATTCCGACACCTGACGCCTGCTGTATATTTGCGTGTCTCTCTCCCCGTGGTTGCGTGGATTTTTCTCCGGGTCCTCCGGTTTTCCCCTCCACATTAAGAAACACGCGTTTAGACTTTTTGGCTGCGATAAATGTCCACGCGATAAGCCACGTTCGTTTGAGCTCACCACGTGGCCGGGTCCCTTCTGTACAAGAGCTGCCTGGGTGGCTGGCACGCGGCGACGTCACTGAGGCCACATCTGCGTGATGTCGTGACCCGGATCATCGTTAAGCCAGATCCGTGCGTGCTGGCGTCACCCCCCCCCCCCCATCCTCTCGTCCCAGTTAAACAGGTAAAGGTTAAAGGAGCCCGGGAATTGCTTCAGAATCTGTTCTTTTTTTTTGAGACCGGAGGAATCCGATGAGCTACGAAGCTCTTTCTTCACAGAAGTCAAGTAAGGGGGGGTGGAGGGGTCAGAAGGTCACCGCGAACAAAACGATGCAAAAAATGACGACGACACCGCGCGACTGCTGATGCTGCCGACGGACGAGCCTCCCACTAGAGGGAGCCCTAGAGGGTGTCTGTTGTCGAGCCGCCCACGGATGACCAGACGTCGTGAACGGCGTGGACGCGTCCACAGGGGAGAGGGAATGGAACCGGCGTGGCTCTGGATTGCTGGTCCGGTTTAAAAAGTGGAATCCATTGCACTAAGGAACCTATACGATACATCGCTATATATGTGTACAGTATGTCCACAAGCACAGTTCGCATATCACGTTCATAACTGGCATTTTTAAAAACATTATTAACACCGCTTTATATAACAGGCGTGGGGATGTGGTGCTGTGGTTGGTGCGCTAAGCTTACCAGTTACCGATTCTCAGTTCGATTTCAGGACACGGTGAACATCCGTGGTGAGTGATATCTGAACTGGCTGGGCCCGTTCAGATATCAATCCTCCACCATTGACCAACCAGACCGGTGAAGAATGAGTAAGCAGACCATTACAGAGTATATCGTTCACATGAAAAAAATAATTGAACACTTCCGATCAACCACACCGCCTTCTGGGTATGCCGTAATGTAAGCGACGCCGGTTCGACTTAGGGGCGTCCATAAATGACGTCACGCGATTTTGAACGTTTTTCGACCCCCCCCCCCCTCGTCACGCGGCGTCACAAAAAGTCATACCCCCCCCCCCTCAAATATGAAATCACAAAGCTTTGCCCCCCCCCCCAAAAATAAAACATGCTTCGAATCGCTTAAAACTATTGTTATTTTAGTGCGTATTTAATGTGGCGCTGCACTCTGATGTTGTAGGAGAAAACATTTATTAAACGTATATTAATTAAGTAGAACGTGTTGTCTATATTTATTTAAAGTTGCACATTTTGATGTGACGTCACATTTCTCAAACCCTCCCCCCCCTCGTCACACATCGTCACAAATGTCTAGGTGCGTGACGTCATTTATGGACGGCCCCTTAAGCAAACCCTGAACCGGTTCTGACGTGTGGAGGGACAGATATGTGAAGGAAATATATTCTCTGTTTGTTCATTTTATTCCATATATTCTCCACAACAACGCGATTGATTAGATTTAAATATTGTCTAAACAGCCACTAATGGCCCGATATGGGGTGAAACGGATCTGCATCCAGAATGGGATGTAAATACGGAAACATGTATTATCTAAATATTACATACAGTATTCGTGTATATGATTCAGGTGATGACACTTAATCCGTGCAGGGAACAAGGGGAGGTAGCAAGAAGGCAGCAGTTGCCTTTGAATTTCGATTTAAAGCTTTCGTGACTGCAGGGATTCATATTCTTGGTTCTTTCGGTAAAGTCACGTAGAAGGGAAATAATAAAATAATAACAATAAAACATAATAAGATAAAATTCTCACGACGTTTCGGCCACAACGCAAGCAGCCGTCCTCAGGTGAAGAACAGGGCTGTCTTTACCGAAAGAACCAAGAATAAGCTGCCTTTGAGTTCGTAGTTCACGATTTCACAACGTGGGGCCTCGAAACGTCCCACGGGATTGGGAGGCACTTGATGTAATAAAGGGTTTCAATTGTCAAATAACTAGTGGCAAACAAACCATTTTCAATCGCAGCAACAACAGCGAAAAAATAGCACATTCTAACGAATGTATATGTAAACATTCATTTGTTTGGGGAAAAAAATAAGCTGTGTAATGTAACTGGCTTACTCTCGCGGCTAATGTCTACATGCGTTCCCATTTAAATAATCCAATTTGCGTTTGATCTCTCCTCTCAAGAAGCGCCATTGCACAAACACGAGCGTTTATTTTGTCTTGGCGAAACATTCCTTCATTTAAATCTTGACTTAAAGCTTTCGTGACTGCAGGAATTCATATTATTTGGGTCTTTCGGTAAAGTCACGTAGATAGGTTCAAAGAAAAAAGAATATATCACGACGTTTCGATCGCAACACAAGCGATCCTGATGACGACCGCTTGTATTGTGATCCGAAATAATCCTGATGACGACCGCTTGTATTGTGATCGAAACGTCGTAGTTTTTTTGTTATTTCCCTTGAACCCATCGATGTGACTTTACCGAAAGACCCAACTAATTCCTTCAATTTCCATCCCAATCCACGAACGTTGCTCCACGAACGTTTTTTTTTCGCTGGTTGCACTGCGAACGATTTGGGGCGATAACCAAGAGAGGTGGCAACCCGATTCGTAACACTTTGACAACCGGGACCCCAGGACTCCCACGGTCACTTGTCCATATCTGTGTTGTCTGGGTGTGTGCGTGTTGTAGGGAGCGGTGGTGCAGCGGTTAGTGCGCTCCGCTACGAAACCAGCGACCCGAGTTCGATTCCAGCTCACGGCCAACACACCGGTGACGATTATATCTGAACTCGCCCTGCTGTGCCTCCTCTTGGTCAACTCAGTCTCAAACGAGTACCTGGTGTGGTGTATAAGCATCACCACTCGGGAGACCAAGCCGGCCAGGCGTGATGATGGCCACCCACACCCTCGTGTGCCGTGCCGGCCTTCATAGTCGCTCGCTAACAGCACTTGCCCCAAAAGTATGCTACGGCTATGGGGGGATCTTTGTCTTTGTATGCGTGCAGTCACATTCACTGTGATGGAATTCCAATTAGCCTACAATACACACACACACAGACCGTGGAGATTGTATTGTTACCCAATCACGCCAGCATGCTGCGTAAGCGAATTTGGACAGGTGAATGATTTATGTTAACATGTAGATGGACGAGGGACCTATTCACGCCGTGCGGGTCGTGGTGAGCGGGTTATTTGATCATACTTCACCACGATGGTCAGTGCGAGGAAGCATAGATACGGGGGGGGGGGGCTTTGATGTAGAGTACAACAAAGTGTTTTTTTTGCGCACTACGATCTGCTGCTCATAACGTTAGCATGCAGCCTATAACACCTTGTTACGCACGGTTGTCGACGTCCAAACACTAAACCCAGTTTCAAATCCCCGCTTAGCTTCCGAGATCTCACACGCTCCGGGTGATTTTTTTCTTGTTGCCACGGGCCAGATTCAACGTCCTGCGGGCGTAATATCCGTCACCATTAACATCATGAGCCTACACACACGACGCCTGATTACAACGTGGCTAAGGACGCGTGCGCCGGATTTAATCGGGCTGGGGGGGAGCTGTGGCTGTAACGTTCAGCTCACAATCGAAAGGTTGCGAGTTAAACCCCCCACCCCGGTCCGAGGAAAATTCAGCCAATCCTCCAGCGGTGGCGCTTGGAGGGGGGGGGGGGGTCATAAAATGAGTACCACTCTGTGGAAAATCACAGAGAAATGGTCCGCGCCGTAGCAACGTGGCATCTCCAGCATTCGTAACTCAGGGCAGCGCACGCAAAACACTCGCTCTCCTTGAAGCAAAGCTACAATGTGTGTGTGTGTGTGTACAGTATATACGTGCAGATTGTCTGAGAGACTGACCTTGTCTACTCACGGGGATGTGTGGTGAATGATGATGCTGCTGCTGCTGCTGCCGCTTGTGATCGCTGCCGCCGCCGCTGCTGCTGCCTGCCCGCGCAGTCCAATGCAGGTCGATGCTCGTTCCAGTTGCTGCCCGTGCGGCGGCTTCCTAACAGCTCTCCTCCGCTTGTTCTTCCTCGCCCTCCTGCTGCTGCTCCTCCTCCTGCCACACCTGATCCGCCGCTGCGGATTGCGCCGAGCGCACGTCCGACATTCGCGGGCCAATAGCGAGGCGAGGCGCAGGATGGCGCTCTGCCGCCGAATGATGATCGAGACGGTGAAGACGACGATGCTTTAGCGGCGGCGGCGGTGGCGGTGATGGCGCTGGGGGAGGCTGGCAAGGAGGGGAGTGCACGAGACGGCGAGAGGGAGAGATGCGCGTCTGTGTAGGATGCGAGGGAGAGGGGTTGAAACGTGCGCCGGAGTGCGGGGCGCAGAGCGATGAGATTCAAGGCAGAGAGGAGGGCGCAACCAATGGGGGGGGGGGGAGGTCACGGAGCTAGCCGGGGGATTGGGGAGGTGTGCGCGTGTGTGTGTGACAGAGTGAATATGCGCGTGCGTGTGTGTGAGCGACTGTGGGGAGCGGTGGCGCGGTGGTTAACGGGCTGCGCTACGAAGCCGGGTTCGATTCCCATTCACGGCCAAACACCAGCGACGAGTATCTGAATCTGTCCCTGGCCTCCCCTAGGTTGGTTCAGCCTCAAATGAGTACATACTTGGTGCGGTGTGTAAACATCGCCACTGGGGAGACAAAGGGGGCCGGGCGTGGTTCTGGCCACCCACCGCCTCGTTTACCGTTGCGGCCTGAGTAGGTGCTCGCTAACAGCACTTGCCCCAAAAAAGCTAGACCGGGGGATCTTCGCCTTACTCGTGGACAAAATCACTGACAAATATCTGAATCGGTCCTGGGCTTCCCCTAGGTCGAGCCAGCCTTAAATGAGTACCTGGTTCGGTGTGCAATGATCAACATAAAGGAGACAAAGGCGGCCGGGCGTGGTGCTGGCCACCCATTTCCTCGTGTGCCGGGCCGGCTATGCGTGTGTCGTGTCGTAGGTCCTCGCGAACAGCACTTGCCCCAACAGGCTGTGAAGGCTATACCGGTGGTCTTTGAATCTCTGTGTGTGTGTGAGTGTTGGCTCTGCGTGCTGGTGGGGGGTGTGAGCGAGGGGGAGGGGTTTGGGGTGGGTTGTCGCCCCTTCAGGGAATGTCTACGGAGAATTTTAATAAAAGGAGAGAGAGGAGAGAGGGTGGGAGAAAGAGAGAGGGGAGAAGAGAGGTGGGGGGGAGAGAGTAGGAGGAGGCGCGCATATAGAATTTGAGCGTGCGCGCACAATGCGAAGAGCGAGTTGCCCATGTGAGGGTGTGAGTGGGTGGGTGAGGGTGTGGGTGGGTGGGTTAGGGTGTGGGTGGGTGGGTGAGGGTGTGGGTGGGTGGGTGAGGGTGTGGCTGGGTGAGGGCGGCGTAAAGGTTACCGCACTGCGCTACGAACCGGGAGACCCAAGTTCGATATCCCGCTCACGGCCAGCACCAGTGACGATTATCTGAATCGGTCCGGGGCATCTCCTAGGTGCAGTTTGTAAACATCGCCACTACGGAGACAAAGGCGGCTTGGGGCTGGCCACCAACCCCAACAGTCTGTTTAGGCTTACGAGGGACCTTTGCCTTTGTGGGTGAGGATGTCGATGGGTGTGGATGGGTAGTGGTTGAGGGTGAGTGGGTGGCTGCGTGGGTGAGGATATAGGTGAAGTTGTGAGGATGAGGGTTTGGGTGAATAGATAGATGTGTGTGTGAGCGATGGTTTGGGTGAGCGCGAGGGTGAGCCTACGGGTGAGTGGGGGAGTGTTGAGAGTGATGGGCATTGTGGTTCGCGCGCACCACCCGAGTTCGGTTCCCGGTCACGGCTAACATCACTGGGATATCTGAACTGACCTTGGGCCTATGTATGGGGAGGGCGTCTTTGTTGAATTGTCGATGAGAATATTCAGGACTTCATTTCAGCCGGAGCTACTCGGGGATGAGGTCCGCGCCCCTTCGAGGGGTGAAGGTTTTGGGGGTGGGGATTAATTTCTTCGGAAATACTGAAAATGTTTCCTGAGAAATTAAGCGATGAGACCGCGAGAGTGAGTTGATGTGAGTGATGCTTTGTGGGCAACGTCAAGGTGAGGATGCGTCTGCAGCGAAGGCAACGCTTGGGAGAGTTGAGCTGAACAGCAGTCCCATCCACTCGTACTCGGAAGGGGCCATCCTTGCTAAGTCCACAAAGCACGGGCTACATCGGATCGAACGAGAATGGTCAGGCTGCTGAGATAGCAAAAGCGGGAACCTACAAGGTGCACAAGAGATAAGAAGAGACGTCGGAGCATACGGGCATACGCGTAGAGGACAAAGATACGAGGAGAAAGATTGAGAGCATTGGAGGCAGACCGAGCAAACTCCAGAGGGCACGGCACGCGATGTGAGCCCTGCCTGCTGTGCCTGTGTGTTTGGGCAGTTATGGCAGTATATGCTGCTGCTGCTGTAACCTAATTGCCGTGCCCCGATGTTACACTTTTCACGGAGGAGGAGGAAGGGATGAGAGTGACCCTGTTAAACAAAGATGCAGTTAAGTGTTCGGGGAGGATTGGGACTTCGGGAGGAGGGAGAAAGGCCCCTGGGAAAGTGGGAACCGGACAGCATGGAAACGAAATAAAAACCCTGAAAGACGAGCAGATCTTCCAATCTCAAACGAGCACTGAACCGGGTTCCGTTGGTGACCCTGAGACAGTGGTGTGAATTCCACATTTCTATGGCCGGGGAAATTACTATGGACACTGGAGGAATGTCGGGGATCAAAGGGGGGAGGGGGGGAGTGCATGATGGTAGCAATGTGGATTTATGATAGTAGTGCTAACAGTCATAGCGATGATGACTGTGCTAAGGGTGACGATGATTGCGGTTGATCTGGGCCAGAGGTGGGTAACCTGCGGTTCTGGAGCCGCATGCGGCTCGTTTTAAGGACTGCTTTGTGACGTTATTCATTAAGGAGACCAGCGTCGCGTATTCACATGCGTTGGGGGCCTCTTCTCGTTACTTGGGTTTGCCAACCCCTGATCTGGGCTCCAGCGAGCCGCTGACGAAGCGTCTCCTCGCCTCCAGCGGAGCTCCATCAACCCCTCCCCCACCCACCAAAGCGCGCTGCGCCTTCATGCACAGCCAGCAAGCAAATTAAATACACAGCGCTACGCTGCACCCACACCCTCCCCCCCCCTTGTCCTTCCTATGGCTAGAGGGTGGCGGGGGTGAGAGGTGAGTGCAAAAAGGATGGGTGAGCATTAGGAGGACGTGGTGAGGCGCGTGGGGTGGAGTTGAAGGATAACAGCATGGTTCTATTACGTAGAATCAGTATTTGTACATTTGGTCTTCAGGTTTTGCTTATAGCGTAAGGCTATATCACCAGTAGTCCGGCGGCAGGGGGTGATGTTGTAATGTGATTTCATAAGATTAAATAATTATCGGGTATTTTCTTTCGTTTAAACCAAAGGTGGGGAACCTTTTTTTTTGCCAAGGGCCATTTGGATATTTATAACATCATTCGCGGGCCATACAAAATTATCAACTTAAAAATTAGCCTGATATATTTGGTCAAACATTTAATTAACTCACCCCTCATGTGATGGCTGGAACTGCTTCTCTTTGGCGAGGCGTGTGATGTTAGCTGCTATTGATGATGTTGCTACTCGCAACTGCTTTGCCAGGTTTGCTCCTAGATTTATTGAATTTCGAGTCCCGCCTGCGGTTGTCTTGGCAGAGCCAGACCAAATGATTTCGCGGGCCTTATACGGCCCGCGGGCCGGACGTTCCCCACCCCTGCTTTAAACCTTGACGCCGGCAGACATGGCCTACGCTTTTCCAAATCGCATTACGTGATCTGTATCGTTCACTGTCAAGCAGACAGCGCATCTTTTGGCGCCACGGTGGCGAGATGTTACTACCTTGCCTGGTATGCAAGGAGTTTGTTCTCCACGTGGTCGCGTGGATTTTCTCCGGGTCCTCTGGTTTCTCCCTCCACATTTAGAAACATGCGTTTAAGAGTATTTGGCTAAATTTCGATTTAAAGCTTTCGTGACTGCAGGGATTCATCTTCTTGGTTCTTTCGGTAAAGTCACGTAGAAGGGAAGTAATAAAATAATAAAAATAAAACATAATAAAATAAAATAATTCTCACGACGTTCCGGCTACAACGCAAGCAGCCGTCTTCACCTGCTGAAGACGGCTGCTGAAGACGGCTGCTTGCGTTGTAGCCGAAACGTCGTGAGAATTATTTTATTTTATTATGTTGTATTTTTATTATTTTATTACTTCCCTTCTACGTGACTTTACCGAAAGAACCAAGAAAAAAAAAGAGTATTTGGCTGCTATAAATGTCCACATGATGAGCCACTTCGATGAGCATTCATCTGTGGCCAGGTCGCTTCTGAAAAAGAGCTATATAGCTCAGTGGGCCTTAACCTGATAAAAATTAATATAGTTGAATAGTTTAGCTTTCTGACACTCGCAATGCCGCAAGTCAAGTTGCTGCCCGGAGGTAGACTCAAATGACCCTCAATCTGAGTCTGATAAAATGGGCATTGCGCTGCAGCAAGTCAATAAAGTTACTCTGTGGACAGCCTGGCCTCTGCTATGGTATTGTAGAATTTCCACCACGAGCTCTGAGCCAAACTCCGAGGGTTTGTCCTTTGCCCAGACACTCCAGTTTCTTCTGGTCACTGTGGACAAGTATGGCCAAATGTCTCTCCTTATGGGGGCCCTTCCACCAGCAGTGGAGTGAGCCATTCCAGGTCGGCACCTTCACCGTGTTTATTCACCATCATGCATTCCAATGTCAACGGCCGACATACATTCTGAGACACCGTGAGGCTTTCCTGGATAAATTACGGTTGCAATTCATCTGCGGAACAGACTTGCGACCACATTGGGCCCTCACCTGATGAAAATGTCACGGGTATACATTCAGTACGTATTTACATGCATGTGACACAAATATGAACACAACGTGCACATCCATTGCTGCGATTCCATTCAACCAGGAAAAAGCCGATTGAGACGCTGCCTCTTGCAATCGGGATGCACGCCTTATTCAGTATATCCTGCAGAGAATTTGTGCATTGGATGAGGAACAAAGACGCCTTTCCCACTCTGTTTAATAAGCAGGGTACGCGGGTCTGTCGACGAGCCCTGCGCCTGCACCACCACTGCACGCCACCCATGGGCGTAGCGGGGTCTCGCACAAGCCTCCTGCTGGCGGCCGTCACGCAAGTCTGGCCTCAAGATTAATTTCGCAAAGCGGCGCTCGCTCCTGTCTTTCACTCGCGAATGTAGCACGGGAAGGGCACGCATGCAGTCCTGCTGCGTGGTCACATGCTGGTACTGTGTGCCTCTGTCGATGTTCTCATGCGTTGAGTTTTTTTTCCGGATTGCGTTGAATAGTAAGATCTTTTCGCATCAGCGAGTTGGACGAAAGCGTATGCACGTTTGGGATATACCTAGTCACCGCCACGGGAATGTGGAATTGCTATTTCTGGTATAAGACGACCAATACACATATGGACACTTTTGACATTTTGTTAATTTTGGTTCCGATTTTTTTTCCAGGAGAATTTCACCATCACTGTGAAACACAATAAAATATAAAATGTTTAGCAAACTCTATGCAGTACTCGTGTTCCACAGAAGTGGACCACTAATATGAGTTGACTGATGTTTCATACCCGATAGGACCATCTCTAAAAGGATCCAACTGTAAATAACCAAACACGAGGGTAATTCAGGTGTCGTGATGAGGTAAATTTTTGTGGAAAACAGCACAATGTCCTGTTTGACACAGTAACTGCTATTACATCTTCTGGAAGGCAACAACACGTTCTTCCAAATGATGGGGAACATCTTTAAAAAAATTATTTTAATGAATCCTGTGGTTACTCTCGGATGGTGAACAATCTGCGAGCCGCCACGATCGGGGCCACTTTTTCCCCGCTGCAGCCTTCGTCCGCCTTCACAGCCGTCGACGACTTCTTGGGTCGCTTTTAGTCTCGAGCCTTCCCTTTGACCTTGCCGGCAAAAGGGTGTCACGGAGGGCACGACACTTCCCTTAAACTCTGGCATTATTGCCCGCCATGTCCTCGTACCTCTGCATTATTCAGGGGCTTACACTTGAGATGTTTAGCATGCCGAACATTGTCCACAGTTTGCCATGTACTAAAGCAATGCTGTTAAAAAAAATGAATGCAATTCCCAGAAAGCCGTTTGGCTAATAGGCAATGTAAAAATATGAAAGGAAGGAAAAATATGAGGTGGTATATTGTCTGCCTATTTACTTTGAGGTTTTAAGGGTTCTCAGTTCATGCCCAAGACTCGGAGAAGCAGTTTCAAGTGTGGAATAACTACGGATAAACAGCATGGCATGTAACATGTGTAAATTGTGCAGCACACGATTAGTACGGTTGGTTACGTCCGGTGCGAAAGAAGTTCAAAATACATTTAAGAGTGAGAAAAATGCGTCTTATTGGAACACAAGCAAATATTAAAAGTACAACATGTTTATATGAGTTAATCTTCATATATTCGGGCACACAGCATAATCATTATTTAACATAAACCTTGGGATACGAAGCGCGATTTCCATTGCATGCAATGTTTCCAGTTCTCGGACAAGCTTCTACTAAATGCAAGCATGTACGAAACGTATTTATATACTGCTACAGCTGCTTAGCTAATGCTTACAAAAATGAAACACACGAGAAAATAACATTGAAAATATTGAAACCTTTTGCTGATTGCAACAGCTATAATGCGGTGTGGTCTAAACGTAGAGTTGCTAAATGCGGCGCTAATTTAATCGCCAATTAAAGATGTAAAATCATACGATTGTCAGATCACGTTGTCATTAGAGGAACACGTATCTCTTTGCTCGTACGAAGAGCAGCAGGGCCTCAAGCCGTCACTTTGCGAAAACACCCCCGGAAAGTGACGAGTCTCCTGCACATGACACATCTTCACACTTTAGAGAGTGGGTAATCATCCGTCCATCATAAATGACCGTTAAAAGTAATTTGTCTGGGCCAACAATTGGACATTGTTTGTAGCTTATTCATATATTTTTCTGAAATGTTTTCAATATTTCCCCCCTGTAAAATGGACGTTGTTTTTGCTCTGCTGTAGTGTAGTATGTTTTATTTTATCAATATGGTGACACGGGTCAGTCACTATTTGGAAGAGTTTTCGCCTGTTTAACAATAAAAATAAAAGTCCCATATACGTATTCACTTTAACCCTCAGGTGTATAAGTAATTGACACGTGTCAGGGAGACACTTTGTGAGTGTTTTTTTTTATGACACATACAGAAAGCACCAGATCACGCATTTAAACGTATAGAATGTAAGACACGTGGTGTCAGTGAGAATCTATTAAGGTCATCATTTCAAAGGGGAGGTGTGTCCTTGTCACGTCACCTTTGGGAAGGTCTGAAACAGCATCTAATACCATTGCCACTTCTGTGCTTTGTGACAAGAGATCAAACCTGGGTCACATGAACACGGTACGTGAATCATTAAGGCCCTAACATCCGAACAGAAAGATCTCATCAAGAAGATGCTTCTGCAACTGTTGCATCTTCTTGGATGTTAAGTCTAAATCCAAACAGCCATATTAACATCAGTCTTTATCACTTGTTTCTTTGTTAAAGAGCGACACTACAGCTCAATTGCTAAAACACACACTTAAGCGGTTGTGCTTTCGCTACGTTGTCTCCACCTGAAGAAGGACGCTTGTGTTGCGCCCGAAACGTCGTGATTTAATTGAGTTGTTTTCATTTTTTTTACCTACGTGACTTTACCGAAAAAAAACAAAGAGTATGAATCCTTGCATTCACGAAAGCTTCAACTCTAGAAAAAAACCCAGAGTTGCTGCCGCTTTTCTTCCTGCTTCCTTGTACGTGTGTTGAAATTCTTCTGCACCGTACGTAGCCAACCGTGTGTTAATCGGAGCTCAACCGTGATGAGATGACGCCACCTGCCTTAGAAGCATGTCCCTGCTGCTCCCCCCTCGCCATCTAGCGCTACAAGCCGTGCCACACGTTTTCCCACTCGAGTTTTACCCTGTGCGCAAGAGGACAGAGCGAATTCACGTGTTCACGAGGACCCAGCGACTTCGTTTCATTTACAAGATCCGCTGCACTGACGTTATGTATTCATAGAATATGACTAAACACATGTGTGCGCTTTAAACATGAATGACAGATTATTCGTATGGACTGGATTGTACATACAAGACTAGCGCTTACTGCCGAGTACCGTTGACGTGTTAGTTGACTTGTGCTGCGTTGTAATAATTATCCAACGAGCTGATGTTGACCCATCTCGGTGGACATCCTCTCACTGCGTCCCTTGACCTGGCCGCCACGGTTCTTATTCCTAACCACCGGACATCGTCCCTACTGACATGTCCCGTCTCTCCGTGTAACTCCAACTATGCGTCTCTCCATTCTTTGTGCACTTTGAAAAACAAATGTATTCGTGACAATGTTTATGTGAGCCATGCGTCATAGCAGGTAATATGAACTGATTAAAAACGTTATTTTATAGGCACATCGGTATTCTGCACATCATTAAATTAACTTCTGAAAAGCGATTCAGCCTGCTCTCGCTCACCTCACTATTCCATCATTATTTTGATGCCATTTCAGCTTCTAATAAGCGCTTTTTACATACGCTGTTTTCGAGATGTTACAGTCAAATTAGTTTTTACATATTTTAATAAATGTGATCATCAACCAATTACCACTGCTGACTGCCCGATACATGGCGTCTTCTGGTGTAACAGGCGGACTGCACTCAAGCTACCTTCTAATGCCGTGGAATGGCTTACAAAACGTATATATGCAAATGTAGCCCGTTGCTTTTTTCAACCACCGTACGAAAGAAGAATCCACTGCTGCGTGAAGGTCTCTCCCCAAGCCGTTGTCATCTCCCATGGTCCCGCAATCTAACAATCCACCTGCACCCGAGCTGATCCCTTAATTATGACGACTAACATACACGGGACGACCCCCGCACTACGTTTATTTAACTATTCTGTAAATCCCCGCTGGGCACAAGGTTTAGCGGCGTTACACGACAACCGGATTACGGCGCACGAATATTGACTGTTGCGAATACACACATGCATACAAATATACACACACACATGACACCTGCACACTGACATGTATGCATGCAGTTGCGAACAAAACATTCGGAATGGAACAAGGCAAGGTACCTATTTCCATTGGTGGCCCTGAACCAACGGTGGAAATTCCACGGTCCTTGACAGGGGCCAGCATTGGACAAGAATCGTCGACTTCCCACAGAATCGTATTTACACTGAACTTCTCACACGTACATGTTTTTGTTTTATATCCAGGGGGCACGCAGAGAGCGTGAAAAGAGACTTTTAGAGGCGGCCTAGCAGCAGCAGCAGCACCTGCGCTGGTGTCTCACACCCGCGGCGTCAGGGCCACGTGGAAATCCCTGGGCCTCAAGACGACCCCGTAAATTCCCTCTAGGTCCGGCAGGGCCTTGCCCGGGATCGGTCCCGCTGAGAAGCGTTGCAGGATGGATGCCGTGAAGAGGAAGAGCTGCAGCTTTGCGAGCGCCTCTCCCAAGCAGACGCGTGGGCCCGCGCCGAATGGGAAGAAGCCCTCGTTCGGTCCCATCGAGCGGCGCTGGCGACCGCACGGCGACAGGAAGCGGCCTGCACGAGTGGGGTGCAGAGTTAGCGAGCGCCCATTAAGGCTTCTGTGGAAATGGTGTGCAAGTAGGTGGCAGGGTGGCACACTGATATGGTATGTATGTTGAACTTCTTTCGCACCGTACGTAGCCAACCATGGAACAAAGACGGTTACGGCATCGCGCTCTTTCAGATGCGCTTCTGAGGCCGTCTGGAACGCTCCGCCTTCCGTTATTAGGACGCCACTGGATCTATCCACTTTAAAATCTAGATTTAAAACTAAATTCTTTAAAACTGCTTTTTGTGTTTAGTGTGTTGTCCTCCCCCGATTAGCGTGGTTGGCTACGTACGGTGCAAAATAAGTTCAACATACATACCTACAAGGGCCTGGGCTCGAATCTTATATCGGCCGCCTTTTTGTGTGGAGTTTGTATGTTCTTCCCCTGTTCTGCATGGGTTTCCTCCGAGTTCTCCAATTTCCTCTCATAGCTAAAAGCACACAATTGCATTGAGGTGACCAATCATCCCAAAGAGGTGAATAATGTTGCCAAGAATCTGCCAGCGCTGTAGTTGGGATTGATGGATCGCACCTCCGATTAGCATGATACATCGACGTACTTTAGAAATCAGTAGAGAAAGTAGTTATCTGACCTCTGGTTGGGTATCCCCTTACATGCGTGGGTTTTTCTGCGAGCAATGTAATGGTGTTTTCCCACTCACATACTCAATTATAAAACGGCAATCACATCACGCAGGGTCCTCCTGAGGACATTATGCAAACTAATTTAAACGTTTTCTGTATAGATAACTGTCAGTATGTGCGTGTATTCATTTGTATGGAGGCAGTTGCCCTACAACAATCGAGGTTCGAGGAGCGACGCTCACGACAACGAGCCAGGCGAATAAAATCCAGCGAGTTGGCACAGGCTGGAGCAACGCCGGTGCATCTGCCAGTCATCTCAGCCTGGGTCTGTCCCCTGATCTCCTGCCAGCGGCGACCGCCTTTGGGACTTCATGAGTAGCCTCAAAGCGCACATAGCCTGGCACAACGCCGAGGCGATGTCACCGCCACTTCGTGAGCTATCAGCTGTCGTGTGTTGGTCAGCATGTATGAATGTGTACCAAATGTGGAAAAGTGTCAATCCGTTTATGAGCGTGTGGATATTTCTGTATCTTGTACAATGGTTAACATACATATTGCGAGCTAAATAGTCCAAGAGCATTCCTAGTTGAGACCTGCCTAGGCAAACAATACCTCCGTTCCACTGGCACATCTGACCCAAGCCAGCAGAGGGCACTCGCGGTGAAGGTTTTTGTCCACTGAATTAAAGCCTGAAAAACTGGCCTCACGACCTCTGAATAGAGGGTGGCGCCAGTGAGAAATGTTAATGCAGCCTCCTGAGCCAAGTTCGCTTGGCATGTCGTTGCTCCGGCATGGCTCGGTTGTGCATTGGAATATATATGTGTAGAATCAGAAATATAATGTCAAGAGCTTTAACACAGCAGATGGGGCAGGGGGGAAATGGCAATGGATTTTCTGTACCCGGATTGAACTCATCGGGTTTCTCCCACAGGCTCTCGTCGTGGTGGACAGCCCACAGGTTGACGATGACCTCGGTGCCCTTCTTCACAGGAAACTCTCCGATCCTTGAAAAGCAACGACAACAAGCAGGCTTGATGAGTCTCGAGTAAGGCGAAACCCGGTGACATCTATATGAAAAACAACCTCCTGTTGCAGTTCATGGAATATAAAACCCGCTGAAAATCTCTTTTCGTGATTTTGTCACTAATTGGCACCGGTTTTAGGACCACACCTTGCTGATGAGACTTGGTGAAGTTGGAACTATTTCACAGCTACATTGATAAGCACATTTTACTGCCAAATATAAATTTTGTAAAATAGAGTAATACATACTGGACCATGTTTGCCCTTTAGGCCACAGGAGGCCTTCGAGATCGATGTTTCTCAGCGGTATTATTGAAGCAGATGACAACTTTTGTTGTGACTTTCTGAGGCTGTTCAGATGGTCCATACATTTATGGCCCAAATGTTTATTAAACAGGTGGGAGCTATATTTAATTGTTAGATTATTTCATCTGTTATTTCCCTCGGGATGGAACATCTTTTTTACATGTACCAATTATTGCAGACTGATGCCAACTGGCGAGCCTGTGCTGAAATCACCTTGTGCCACACAGAGACATCCGCTACTGAGGGATCCCCCTTCGAATGTTTGAGACGTGGATGTGACATAAACGCTTCGAGTTGCCGAAGCTTTTAAACAATAGCGTCCGAATACAAACACCGCCCCCCTGCACTACATATGAATCCACCAATCCTCCTTATCCTTAGGGGCCGTCCATAAATGACGTCACGCGATTTTTGACGATTTTCGACCGCCCCCCCCCCCATCGTCACACGGCGTCACAAAAAGTCAGACCCTCCGTCAAATATAACGTCATAAAGATCTGCCCCCCCCCCAAAAAAAAATATAAAACATGCTTCAAATCGCTTTAAACTATTGTCATTGTAGTGCGTATTTAATGTGCCGCTGCACTCTGATGTTGTCGGAGAAAACACTTATTAAAAAGTCTATTTAACTAAGTAGAACGTGTTGTCTATATTTATTTAAAGTTGCGCATTTTGATGTGACGTCACATTTCTCACCCCCCCCCCCTCGTCACACATCGTCACAAATGTCTGACCTCCCCCCCCCAGGTGCGTGACGTCATTTATGGACGGCCTCTTATGCTGCCGGTGCTACAACCGCCGCAACAACTCACGTGGTGTCGCACATGGCCACGTGCGGGATGAGGATGGCAGCGACCGGTCTGATTCGTAGCACCTCGTTGATCGTCGCCTCCATGAAGGGGAGTTTACCGCGATCGCTGGCGCAGGGGGGCCTCTCGCGTCCAATCACCTCGTCCAGCTCGGCGTGGATGCGGCCCTGAATCTGCAAGTGCAAAGATAAAGGCACTCCCGTGTGTAGCCTTGACAATACTGTCGGGGCAAGTGCCGTTGGCAAGAGCCCATGAAGGACGACGCCGTGCACGAGGCAGCGGTGCTGCTAGCACCGTGTCTGGCCGCCTTTGTCTGTCCAGTGCTGATGTTTTTATTATAACTACACGCTTTTATTATTATTATAATAACTACACGCTTTTATTTAACTCACTCTGTCTGTTGTTGTTGCATCGTCAAATCTTGTAACTCAATTTTAACCCATTTCCCAATGTGGTATCGACTGCAAACTTGGTATACTTATGTCATACTGATGACAGCACTATATTCTATCATAAAAAATAAAAAGTATATATTTTTAAACATAATTTTTGAAATGTTATGTTTCGGCTTGGGTCTAATTGTCCACGGTCAACTAATGTTGGCTGTGAAGCCCAGTACCGATTCAGATATTCGTCAGTGATTTTGTCCAAAAGACAAAGATCTCCCGGTATAGCCTTTTTGGGGCAAGTGCTGTTAGCGAGTAATAGCACCTATGAAGGCCGGCACGGCACACAAGGGATGGGTGGCCAGCAACACGCCCGACCGCCTTTGTCTCCCCCAGTGTCGATGTTTACTACACAGCACCAGGTACTCATTTAAGGCCGAGTATACCTAGGGGAGGGCCAGGACCGGTTCAGACAATCGTCACCGGTGGTGTTGCCCGTGAGCGGGAATCGAACCCGTGTCGCCGGGTTCGTAGCGCAGCGTAGCGCGCTAACCGCTGCATCACCGCTCCCCGCAACACTCACCACACGCACGACAACACACAAATACACACACGAACACACGTAGTGAACGGGCTGGGCTGCTGTCTGACCCTGTTGGGGGGGGGGGGGGGCTCGCCGCACCTCGGGGTGGTGCACCATGAAGACGAAGATCCACTTCATCACCGTCGTGCTCGTCTCGACCCCCGCTCCGAAGATGTCCCCGGCGATCATGAGCAGGTGGTCGTCGGTGAGTTCCACGCCCGGCGGCGGCGGGGAGACGCGTGCTGCCTCCAGCAGGCGGTCCAGCAGGTCGCGCGTAACGCCCTCCTGGAAAGTGGCCTGGGGCAGTGGAGGAGTGGGGGGGGCGGTTGGAGGAGTGGGGGGCGGTTGGAGGAGTGGGGGGGGGCGGTGGAGGAGTGGGGGGCGGTTGGAGGAGTGGGGGGGGGGGCGGTTGGAGGAGTGGGGGGCGGTTGGAGGAGTGGGGGGGGGGCGGTTGGAGGAGTGGGGGGGGCGGTGGAGGAGTGGGGGGGCAGTGGAGGAGTGGGGGGGCAGTGGAGGAGTGGGGGGGGGTTGGAGGAGTGGGGGGCGGGTGGAGGAGTGGGGGCGGTGGAGGAGTGGGTGGCGGTGGAGGAGTGGGGGGGAGCGCACCGGGGATGGGTTTGAGCGAAGCAGAGAGAGAGAACGAGACGTCGATATGGGGGGGGGGCAGGGGGGGGCAGGGGGGGGGGCAGGGGGGGGTAAGCGCAACAAACGCCAAAACTCGCACGATTGAATGTAACAATAGGTCTTATTCTCGATTTGAAGCTTTCGTGACTGCAGGAATCCATACTCTTTGGTTATTTCGGTAAAGTCACGTAGGTAGAAAAATAATAGATCACGACGTTTCTATCGGATGGAGATGCTTGCTCACCCTGTGTTCTTGAAGCTGCTTCTCAAGGAGTTTGTCCCGCGCGCGCACGCATGCGCGCAGCTTCCTTAGCGACATGCTCGGGAACACCTGAGCAGGACACGACGGAAGAGAGAAATGTTCCAGAGATGTATTATTATTGTTATTACTTTTGTAATGACAGTAGAGCCTGCATGTGGTGTGAGGGGACTAGTGGCCACGGGAGGTAATGCCAGGGAGGTCAGCCTACAGTACAAATGCACTAGTGGTGTGGGTTAAGGTCGGAGTACCGAGACCCAGTGAAGCCGAGGAGAACACTGACCCTGAGCCAGGGGAAGATGTCCACAAGGTCGTCCTTGGCCACGATCTCCACAATGCCGCGGCTGTAGTCCAGCATGGTTTGCAGACCGGGGTCCCCGCGGGAGTAGCGCGTGCCGAACACAAGGCGCATGATCACGTTGGTGGAGGCGCGGGACAGCTCCTGCTCCGGGTCGCTCGTGGCGCTGCTGGTGGAGTCCGATGTCGTCTCTCCCAGTGCTGATATGAGCGCCAGCGCCTCCTCCATTACTGTGGGGAGGAGGTTCGGTGGAGCCGTGTGATACACATCGCACAAGATGTATGGAAATATGTTAATGATCTTGGTCGTTGGTTTCAATCAATCAGAGATAAACCTGTTTGAAGATAATTACGTCACTTTTGGTCAGAGGAAAGTCAAACTGATGGTAACCTTTTTCCAGAATTAACTGATCTCACTCAAATTTGTGAATGCTAGTAAACGTATGTTATGCTCATCATAGAAAGATCAACTGTCTCTATCTAGTGTGATTACAGCTCTCAGTGGTGAAGGTATCGAAGAGACAACTTGCTACAAATACCTTGGCTTCATGTTCGATCGACTCTGTTGTTATCTTACACTCACTTATTGACGATATGTTAAACGAAGGAAATGTGAAATGAGTTTTCTCTTATGAAAATAAGCACTGCTGTCCCCACAACATCTGCCGTCATATTTATTATTGACGCTTCCATGTGACCTCAATTTCACTCCTGTGATGCCTACAGATGAGCTGGAGGTATCGCTCCTTTATTCGTTGCTATTGTTTTCATTACAACTCAACGCGAGCCGGACACAAAGCGCCGATCACCAAACGCAGGGGAGGAGGAGGGTACAAAAATTCTGCGAACAGCAGCCCGAGCTCGACTTGACAGGGCCTCATGAGAGTGGAAAACTGGGCTCACTTCCCAACCCTCCAGCTTCAAACACTCCTTAATAAACTAGATCCTCTTTACCACTCAGCTCTGAGATTCACCTTCGATGCCCCTTATATAACGCGTCACTGTGAGATGTATTTTAAAGCGAATTTCACCTTGCTGAAGTTATGACGAGATCTACACTGGGTGGCATTCAAGCTACAACGTTCTTAAATCCAAATCAGCTCGGTATTTTACTAATATTCTCCAGCCATTAAATAAAAAAATCCCTAAAACATTGCAGGGCCCTCCGATTGCTTGTTGACCTTCCAGAGGCTGATCTCTAAAATTATACGAAGAAAGCCCATTGCCCAATATGTTGCTGATTGTACTGTGCACATATTTTTCCTTACAAGGCCGCAGTGTTATTGACGAACGTTTTTATAATTATTGATATATATAGATAAAAGAGTGTACCGCTGCCAATGCAGTTGCACCCAAAAATAGAAAATCTTCAAACACTCATACCTTCACAAAGGTATGAAAGAAAATGTGGCTTTCATGACACAGTTGCACAATTTAAATATAACGGGGGAAAAGGCTGTTATCTGTGTGAGTATTTGATGCACAGTGCCGTTTGGTTCAATAATACATTTCTAATGCACGCGTCGTCTCGGCCATAATATTTGATTGGCTGAGACGATCGTCGCCGCACGTGCGGACGGTCAGATACACACGTGGCCACCTTGTGATTGGACACGTCGGTTGTGACGTTACCGATTGGACATGTCGGTTGTGACGTTACCGATTTTCTCGAGCGCGCCCATTCCGCCGGTCTTCGTGTAGAGGGAGCCCAGCACGAGCTTGCGGTGGAAGCGCCACGATGGCCCGACGTCCGTGAATGCGATGTCCTTGCCTCCCCTCGACAGGATGTCTGTGGTCACCTGGTCGCGTCGTTACAGCATTCGGCGACAGTTCAAGATCACGACGTTGTCGTGGCCAAAAGATGTTAATGCCGCTGTAGCTCATTGCCAGGGCTTTCTCTCCTCTAACAGATCCCGCAGTTGCTGCGCAGTCGACAGGCGACCACCAAGATCTAGCATGACAATATACCAGCATCTTGCCTTTTGGTATTCTCTTTAGTGGAGTACACGCCAATGCCTGTCTCGTCAATTGGCGCATAGCCATCCTGCACACACGTCCTTCCCAAAACAGCGGTTTTGTGCTGAATCGTAACTCTTTTGGACTTAAGCATCGCTTATCCTGTCTTGCCGTGAAATCGTCAAAACAGTAATCGACGTCTCATTTTGCAGCAAAGTGAGAATCAAACCGGAAGGCCGTGGCATGGCCCACGTGGAGATCGATGCCAAGTTCAGATCTAAAGCAGCCTGTCAGAAAAGTGTGCGTACAAAGTAACCGTGTACATAAGGGAGAGCACACATAACAGAGAGGAGGTTTGAAACTATTACCCGCGAAACTTAACATCGTCCTAAGAAATGTTGCTGTTCGTCCATACGACATAGGCGTCGTCTTTAGCATGCTGATTGTCAAATATCCAGTGGAAGAGGATGAACTATAAAGACATTCACCAGCCTGCACTGACGAGCATGGTCAGGTATGATACATCGCTGAATTTAATTAAACACATAATAGGTGATGTTGAAATAATACTGCATTATTATAAACCTCACGGAGTCTCAGATCTCTTCTATAGAAGGGTCCTGCTGCAATGGCATGTGTGGCCATGAATTCCAATAATGAGAGGGAGGTTTTCTTGTCGAAGGAAACCCGCGAACCCAGATTAAAACCCACCACGCGTAGACAGAATCAAGAATCTATTGCCGTGCTTCCATTTCCAATCCACCACGCAGCCAGCCACAGTCCCTATAGTGTCTGCTATTCAGGCTCGGACTTTATTTTATCCCGGCAAGGCTCATCGAGCTTAGCTGCTCTTTAACAAGGACAACCACAGCCCAAGACTGCTGTCGGTTGTGGCGGCAGTAACAGGACATTGTAGGGAGGAAATGAAACTAACAAAAGGAAAACTTATTTACACGAAGCCCATGCCAAAACGTGCTGCGAACAGGATAAACAATAAAATTATTGAAAATAAATGAAAAAGAATGAAATTGCAGTTGCAGACGTATTCTCCCATTCAAGCACGAATCACGCTCAGCCCTGTGGAGTGTCAACTCAGCGCCTGTTACGACGACTGAACTTGCAGTCGTGGGGTTGAAAAAACAACCCAGCAGTGCCAGGGAAATTCCTCACCCGCCTTAAACCATGGGGCCATTCATATCGCTCTCTGATAATCTTTTCAGTAAAAAGATAAATAATCAGACAAAATGTTTTCTTTCCCTATATGTAACCCCGCATATATAATAACAGTGTTTTTACACATCCCAATCAAGCACGCAGCCTTGTGGGAGTGCATCGTTTCAACAGCATTTTTAATACAATACAAGAAAATCCTGGACCGGTTTCAACATTCAATGTCGAATCAACAGTCAGCCTCGCTTAAACTAATACTGGTGGACTGTCAGATGTTTATAAACCCTCTACTCGATATGCAAAAATCTAAAATACAGCACTATATAGTTTTGCATCGAACTAGAACCTATATCTACTTTTTGTTTTTTTCGGTAAAGTCACGTAGGTACAAAATTAAAATAAATTAAATCACGACGTTTCGGGCGCAAGACAAGCGTCCTTCAGGTGGAGACAACTTAGCGAAAGTGTGTCAACACACTTAAGCCGCCGTCGTGTGTCAACACACTTAAGCGGTGTGATTTCGCTAAGTTCTCCCCACCTGAAGAAGGACGCTTGTGTTGCGCCCGAAACGTCGTGATTTAATTTATTTAAATGTTTTACCTACGTGACTTTACCGAAAAAACCAAAGAGGATGAATCCTTGCAGTCACGAAAACTTCAAATCTAGAATTATGACCTATATCTAACTGAAAGAGTACCCATCTGGCAGTTGATCAGCATTGGTTAAAGCCGGTGTAGATGACGGGATGTGCAACGAAATAATTTGTAAAGTTTGCATGCGCGGATGGGACCGATTTTGGAAGGATGGAATTTTGTCCGCCGAATCGATTTTGTGTGGTTCGACAGCCGTGGCCGGCGCGGACCCGCGCGACTCACCGCGTGCACGCGGCCCCCGAATTGGCGACCCTTCCTGATGAGCACGTGGTGAGCGTGCTGCGCGCTGGTCACAAGCACCGCGTGCCGGGCCCCCAGCTTCAGCGCCAGGGCGCCGCCACTCCTCGCCGCTAAGCCCTCCTCCCCTCCGCCACCGTCCTCGAAGTCTCCTCTCGAAGTGCCGCCGTCGCCGCGCTCCGCCGTGCGCGGAAGACTCCGTGCCACGGCACCGTGCGTGCGGCCCAGCTGAGCCAGGTGGACGTGGGGCTGACTCGTGCCTCGCAGACTCAGGAGGCTGCCCAGAACGGGCAGCGAAGGCAGCGAGGGCAGCTTCGGGGTCGGCTTCGGGGAAGCCGCGTCCCGTGGAGATTTGCTCGCCAGCGACGACGCCACGACGACGATCGCGACGACGATGATGATGAGGACGGAGATGGTGATGAGGTCGAGGAGGGGAAGCATGGCTCGCAGGAGCTGTAGTCTGAACCGGTGCGTGATCGAGCCGGTGCTGTCAAATAGGATTTTGGTTTCGATCCCAGATTTTTTTTTGTAACCTATCTCCAAATTATCTAAATCTGTCTCAAATGTGATGAAGGCTAATATGCGGTCTTCTGCACCTATCTCGCTGTTGCAAATAGTTCTATATTTCGCTTTGCCTCATCTCTTCTCGAGTCACCGCCTCTCCACGTTTCCTTTCCCCCGCTAATTTGCTCTGTTCTCTTGGCCTCCCGTGTTCTCCGCGCGTACTGTGAAGAATTAGCGAGCGTGATTCTCTGAGCCCACGCACTTGAACCTTTATGCTCGCGCGACAACCTTGGCGTCGAGAGATAAGAACGCGGGCGGCAGGCGAGGGACAGAGATGTAGTGTGGGGTGGCGAGCGAGGGCGGGGCGGACGGGGGGGTATGAGAGATAAAGTCACACATGCGATATAATATTCTAATTATTATTATTTTAATACGAGGCGTCATTTCAAATCACATTGCAAAACAGCGTCGAAACGTGCAGTGGGCACAATTGCCGCGCGCGCAGAGGCGCAGGGAACCACAGAAAAGCGGGAATGCAGCCAGACAAAACCCGTGCCCAGATTGCTCAAACGTGGTGGGCCATGATTGCGATGTACGGCCAGTGCCGGATTATCTTGAGCCTGATGAGGACATTCCACATTCACGAGGCAGGCGCCAGTCTATCCAAAGGACAATAACCTTTAACTTCCGGCAAAATGGTACACTTTTATCGACCGCAGGGAGGATTGCCAGGTCACCCCACAACAATGATTTGTACTCACAATCGTTCAATTGTGACCCGCTCTACCACCGAGCCACCTAGCCAGAATTAGGAAAATGCCATATAAATATATATGAGTGCAGTATGCATACCCACATTCAGTGCACATATTCACACAAGCCAATAAATACATTCGCAAAAATCCAACATGTACATTTCGTTTAAAGTGTACAGATAGGTGTACAGACAAGAAGTGCCTGGGTTAATTTCACAACTCAGGAATCCTTTTCTGCGTCGAGTTTGTATGTTCTCCCCCTGTTCTACACGTGTTTCCTCTCTGTGTTCTGCTTTCTTCCCATTAATAAAACAAAATACATGCAATGTAAGTTGTATTTGCCAAATATCACAATGCTGTAAAATGTACCTGCAAAATTACTCCTATTTGGATTGCAGGTGGCAACATCTCCCCCATTGCAAAAACGTGGAAGGACCCTCCTGAAAATGTCTTGAGATTTAGAGGCTTTCCTCCGCTGCTCCTGACACGGTTGTCTGGCTTCATCGCCTGAATGTGAAATTGTAGTTGTTACTCTGCACCTACATCAGCGTACGAAAGAAGAAGAAGATAGGAGAGGAGTTGTTACGTGTGCAGTACAGTTCTGAACATACATATGAAAACATAAAAATTTACGCATAGAAATTTTTACAAATTAATACAAAAATTGTATCACCTTTTCTTCCTACCTCTGCTAAGGTCACTTGACCTTTTGAAAAAAAAAAACGCACTGACTTTCTTTGAAGTTTCACAATTAAACATCACAGTTCACATGTGTTCGGTGTCATCTTGGAAGTTGCGTCGTAAATGAAGTTTCTGCATCATGAATCCCTCCATGGTGGCATTATGTAAACGTCGTAAACGTGAGTGGTAAATAGGTCAGTCGTAAACCGGAGACCACCTGTAATGTTTCCCAAAAAAAAAAATTACTCACATTTAAGAATACAATAAGATCCAATATTAAGTTGAATATTCATACTCTTTGGTTCTTTCACCTACGTGACTTTACCGAAAGAACCAAAGAGTATGGATTCCTGCAGTCACGAAAGCTTCAAATCAAGATTGAATATTCGTGTTTCACAAATTTTATGCGCTCCAAAAAATGGCATTTAAAACGAATACGAGTGACGTAAAAACTCACACTTGCTTCATTATAGTATGGTTACAAAGCTGTATTTCAGCAGATGAATGTGCAACATCGAATTGAAATTCCCCAAATGTACTTAAATTGGTAATTTTGATTTGTACCTTCAAAGTAAAAATGATCAGGTTAATTCAAATATGCATACATTTATTTTTATTAAGTAACGTAACTTTTCTGTGAATTATCGTTTTATTCTAACATCTCACCCATGGATTTTTATTAAAAAGGTAACCATACCAAAATTGTAGCCTTAGTTATTGCATTTGATTTCCAATGCAAATATAATCAGCACAATTAATGAGCAAACATTCTGATTTTGTCTCTCAACATACACTGCTCAGCAAAACATTTAATTTGTTAAGGAGGCATATTGTCTGCTCACTTTTTTTATGTTCTCTACAACGATGCTTTAAATTATTTGAAGGGAATGTTGCTTGTGTGTGAGTATGTTTGTGCTTGCGTGTGCATGTTTGTGTTTGTTTTGTCTGTATATCTGTGCGTATACGTTTGCCTGATTGTGTCAAGGTGATGTCTGAGGCCTGAGGTCTCTGTCCTTCTCGTCCTCCCTCCCTCTCTCAGGGACATGGCCATATTGGATACACTGAGCCAGCACAGATGAGATCCTGGGGTTACGGTTCAAGCCTTGGGGCTGCGTCTTTCTTCCCCCCTCTCGCTTGCTCATGCATGCGTGCCAGACACCACGCCTGCCCTACGGTCTGAGGCTCAGGTCCTTGGGTTGCTGTCTGCCTTTATTAGGGTTTAAAGTGGCTGACTGTCCCCCACCTTCCGTTCTTGCCACGATTGTCATAAGCGCTGCGTCTTAGGCACTGAGTCAGCACGCTTGCGAATGTCAGGTCCAAGCCTATGGCAGGCCCGTGCCCCTTTTTTTATGGGGTACAATGGCCGTGTCTTAAATCCTAAGATCAAGCCCTAAACTGGTTGCGTTGTGCTGTCTTTCTCTCTGGAGGCCAAATAAATGTGATGGATGGGTTCGACAGCAACTAAGAGCGCTCCGGGCCTGGTCCCTCAGCCCATCTACCTCGTGTCACTGCCATTTCTCTTGTTTTGTCTCGTTCATATTATTCACTCTAAGCTCCCTGATTCACTCAATCCCCAGCTCCCTCGCTCATTTCCCACTGCCCCCCTCTAATCTCCCATTCTCTCGAATATCTCTCCCCCCTCCCCCTCTCTATAATCTGTTTATTTGGAATGCAAGGATAAGGCTGCGGCCTTCAAAATCTGGGTTCAACCAACAACCTTGGTTTAGACTGCACGCCACACCCGAGGCATTTACGGGCATCTGGAGCATCAACGCTCGATCCACTGCTACCCTGCATCACATTTGCAGTGTGCAGTAGCAGTGCAGGGCGGTGTGGCTACTCCCCAGGGACTGGGGAAATTGGGGAACAGCTGTATTTAATAATGGCATTCATTGAGATAGACTGGTGCTTAGGGGATGGGTGAGCTTTTACCTCGGGCGCGACTGGGGAGCTCTCTGCTATATTTTAAGCTGTTTTTTGGATAACTTTTACATTCTTTTTTAATAAATACCTGATTGATACCGAACCTGCTGTGACCGCTCCAATGAACTCACCATCTCATAACAGACGGAAGAGGGGCTTTGCCCACCTTCTTGGTTGCACGCTTAGAGGGTATGATTAAGGGCAAAATGAATGCTAATATAAATAACTAAGAAACGCAGAATAACGCGTAGCAATACAACGTTGGTGGTGGAAAGAGAGCGGTGGTGGGAGCTGGGAGATGAGACGATGCATGGAGGGAGCACAGATGCGGGGTGATTTGAAATCACAAGTGCTGGTCGCCGTGCTAAACCACGGATACACACAACTTCATACCGCGGTTAGCAAATTTGCTGTGCCGAAGGAAACCGCGGATACGTAAATACCGAGGATGCGCAAATCAAAACGCGGTTGGTCAAGTGATTGCTGTATATTTGTGAATACAAACACACGCAACCATGGGCCGACATTCGCCACGAAGTGGTGGTGACCTCACCACCCTAATTTTGCGATGTTAGGTGCACTTTGAGGCCACGTCAAGTATTGGAAAGCTCGCTGGCCGGTGGTCACAGGACAGCCAGATGTTATGGGTTGGCTGAGATCAGAATCTTAATATCGACTGGAAGACTCCAATGAGCTATAAAGCTGTATTTTTGCATATTGCACCACCTATGCTCCCGACTGCGTCAAATTGCTGTGTATTAGTCGCCCGGCGCTCCGCTCGTTGCTGTGAGCACACACAAACGCACTGAAACATTTTCGCAAAACACACTCACACACACAAATATGCGCGCACTCAGATGATGTCTGTTGCTATCGCACTCTCAAGGGCATCCGTGCCCCTGGATGGCTGAAGGTTTTCCTTTGCTGATGTAGTAACGAGGGTCAATGGTTACACAACAATAATAATCCTTTACCCTGGAAGACCTCACTTAGTCTCAGCATTTTTTCCCCAAGAGATCCAGCTTTAAATATTAATCCATATGTTATTAATTTTATTGTTTGTATTTTGGGATTAAACTAAAGGACACATACCACTATATACACATGGAGGGAAAACTATTTACTGTAGTGTAGTAGGTGTAAATTGGATAGCAAAGTCTATAGCAAGACAGCGATATCAATGGGTGACCTTCGTGAAACTCGTATTTCTCCACATGGTCTCCTTGAAGCACATCTGGTCTATCACAAATGTTCCAAGTCTTTAATCACTACCCAGCAGAACGCCTTGTTCCCCGGCACACATCCCTGCCATTAGAATCCACCCAGAGGTGGCCCTGATCATTTCTTTGCTAACTACCGCCGTTATGGTTTATGTCAACTTCACTCATTGATTCCTGCACCCGTATTGAGGACTCGGTCTACAACATAAACTGTTTCGTCCACATTCACACTGTATTAAACCACCATACCGCAGGTCAAAACAACATGCTCGCCCACTCATTCGCGCTCTTACTCATTCGCTCACTCAATCGCCACACTAAATGTCACAGACACTTCTCTTGCTGTTTATTCCCTCGCTCTGCTCCACTTTGGTCACTCATAAATGAGTACTGGTCGGTGTTCTACCAGTTGATATTCTACTGCACGAGCAACGGTCATGGCAGCGCGGGGCTTGTGAAGGGAAGACGTCCTGGTGACACAGCAAGTTGCATTTCACACATCCTCATCTGTGATTTCATTGCAGTTTAGTGATTGGCTGTGTGTAATATTTCTTTGTGATTGTGCTTTCGTGTTCCAAATAACCACTAGGACTCCATCGGGATCCCAGAAAAAACAGGCCGGCCGATCACAGCAGAGCGCTGTTATAGTAAGAGTTTTTCAATAATATCGGTGACTCGGATCGGTGAATTTGACTGACCAAACTTGAATCAACGAACAGAGAGTAAAGTCCTGAGTAGAGCAGATTCTGTATCTTTTTTACTGAAATCGGCAGAAATTGATGCAAAAAATCCACAAATGGAAGATCAACGAATCGCCAAACTGCGACTGTGGTGAAGTCCAAACCATCGAAACCTGACATAGCTGCTCACTCCGAGCTATAAACTCTATGATAGTGGCATTGTCTTTGAGCTGTTCGCCTTTTGGCATCATCTGGTCGAACACCGTTTGAGACTCGGCTCTCAGGAAAGCTGTTTTTGGTGTGAACCAATCAGTTTCAATGACAATGCATAAATTATCAGAGTGTTGTTTTTTGTTTCCATTCTGACTGCAAGTATTGTGGTTAATGTAAACATGATTCCTTGCAAAAGGTTTCAGTTTTGTCGCCATGAAAAAAGGGGAAAACCCCTATTAATAAACATTTGTGTTATAATATTTACGTGTCTTTTTTAAATTTAGGGCCCCTTTATAACATATGCTACACTGCCCTTACTAGCTTCATCCGGCGCTGCATCTCAACACCTCCTGTTTTATTGCCAGAAAGGGTAAAACCGATTCTTATTTTCCATTACGTCCAAACGCATCGCCGCCGCGGACGCCATCAACGCGCGCACTCTGGCGGTGTCGCTCTGGCGGTGTCGCTGCGGTCCACGCCGCGTCGCCTGCTGTCGTTGGTGTCGCTTGAAAAAAAAAATGTGGTAGGGCAGGGACCCACCGACTTACGAACGTTCGACTCAGGAACTTTTAGAGACACTCACAAACCTGATCCGTATGTCGAGTTGCCTGTTCGAACCGAGAGTCGTGAGTTTAACCGCCGCGCAATAGATGGCGGTGGTGGCATCTACAGCTGCAGAACGTGAAGAACCGGTGGCATCTACATTGTTTCCATTTTAAAGGTTTCATGCAGTTTCGTTCACCAATGTGACATGAAACAATTTGCCTGGCGCCGCGAGATGATGCATCTTCTGGAAGGCCGAGGTATATATATTACATTCTGCCGAGCCCCCGAGCCGGCTAGTTTAGATACGATGTGCCCCTTCACCTCTTCCAAGATTAGTTTTGCACACGCGAGCAGCACTGTGCAAAGTTGTGCCATGGTCACCACTGTGGCCCGTGCTCCTCCTTGACGAACGCGACCCCCATTGCACTTTGCTGTGCACCATTGTGCGCACAGCGAGCATAGGCAGAACTCCGTTCTGTGTTTGCACATAACACCACGACATGTTTAGTCCATCAGCCTATACAGTCGAGACCAGCATTAGCCAGCAGCAGCAGAATTTGAGGACAAACGAAACGAATTATAACTCCCGGCTTAGCTGATTCCGAGTTGTACCTGAGCGCTGAATGTATGTGTGATCACATCATGTATTTACGTGTTGTATTTACTTTGAAATAAATTTTAATTCAAACATTTCACCCTCAAAATAGCGATCGATTGAACATCTCATTTTCAAAGTTGTCTCGTGTTAATTGACACAAAGCAAACACGCAATGACCCATAAATAAATATGATACATCGAAAAAACTTTAATGTTTCATTTGCATTTTGAAAATCGGACCCAGTCAAACACGAATAAATAAACACACAACTGGTTAAGTGTCGTACACTGCTTGTTAATATAGCATGGACTCTGGCTTGAGCAGTTGCAGATGATGCGTGAGTGAGATTTCATTACAGATATACAAATCTGAGGCTGGCGGCATTGTCTCTCAGGCACTCTGTGTCGAAGTCAACAGTGGTTGTCCTATGGTTCGCCTCGCCATAGGAGTGTGGAATTTCCACCGTTGACTCAGGGCTGTAAACTCGCAATGAACACTGCCACGATGCTTGTTATATCGATTTTTTTTTTTTACAAATAAGGCGTTCAGCCCATCAGCCTATCGGTGTTGATCAAGCAGCAATTGTTGGAGCAAACAAACTGGACAGGCTCTGACTTTCTGGGTTTCGTCAACAGCCACAGGCTTGTTAACCGAATACTGCTAAATTACCAGGGTGTTATTGGCATAATCACTCCATATAAAATACGGAGCCCGTTAAATGCAAATATATACACGACTGACACTACAAAGGCAGAACCCTCACGTCACGAGATCTCCGTAACGCTATTGAGACATAGAAGTAAAAAGGACGTCATGATCAACAAGGGATTATAACCTTTAAATTAAATAAGTCTGTGTCACCACGCCCTTACAACTTGCACACGAATAGATGCAATGAATATCACGTCACGGTCTACTTTTCACTTGCAAGTTTCAGATTTACTGCAATACACCCGTCCTTAGACGGGCAAAAGGCGAGTTGTAAAATAACCTATTATAATTATGACAACAGAGTACCGTATTTAATGTTACATAAACCGCCACATTACATTTGCAGCTTGTGCGAATAAAAAAAAACGCAGGAGAGTCTGTGCTCTGCTTTAAGCAACCGGTTGCCTCGAAAACCGGTTGCAGAGACGTGAGCGATTCAGATTGCATGCCGGCAAGCCGCGCAAACCGTGGTTGGTGGACGGGTCACGCATGGCGCTTCATGTGCAGGGCGAGGTGGTCGGATCGCGAGAAGGCGCGCTCGCATAGCGCGCACGGGAAGGGCCGCGCGCCCGTGTGCTTGCGGTAGTGGCGCGTGAGCTCGTCCGAGCGCGCGAACCGCCACCCGCAGCCCGGCCAGTCGCACCCGTATGGCTTCTCGCCTGTCACCACCACCACCAACAACAACAACAATATCAACAACGGTAACAACATCGACAAAAGCCAGCATGATAAACGCTTGCGTGTTGTCACTAAGTTTGCGAGCATTATATTTAAGTGACAACTCGTCCTCTGGAGTGAGCAGCCACGAGTATAACGCAGTACCTGTGTGGGTCCTCAGGTGTGCCTTGAGGTGCGAGCTCTTGCTGTAGGTCTTCCCGCACGCGGGGAACTCACAGACGTGCGCTGCGAGTCGTTTCCGCGAGCGTGCTCCGTGCTCGCGTTTCAACAACAGCTTGCACCGCCTGTAGTTTCGTGGCTCCTGTTTCAGGGTGATCTCCTGAACACGGCTCTGATTCTGTCCTGGCTCGAGCCTCAGACTCGCCACCGTCACTTCACCAAAGAGGTCCAGTTGAGGAGAGGAGGGTGGCATGAGCGCCGCGCCAGACGTGTTCACGTTGAGGTTACCTGTACAATGACATTGCGCGAACGCCACGGGGTTAACGGGATCAAGATTGTCATAATGGCGAAAGTCATAGATGACACCACAACCTCGCTACTCAACGTTTTTCACCCTCCGCCAGATCCCGAGGTCAACTCATGGAGGCCGCGGGGAAGGTCTCAGATTCGACTCGTGGAGACTGTCTGGGTTAAGTGGCTTTCCCTCAGCCTGTGCAAGTGTCCCTCCCAGTGTGGCAGGTTTTTTCTCCTTATCATATATCTACAACACTTGCCTGCCATGTTATTGTCCGGACTTTCCAATGGCATATCCTGACTTGCAACGAAATTCAGAGCATCCGACAGAAAAAAACACTTGTACTCTAAACTGGCATTAACGTTGTGTGTAAACGGCAGGTCAATATGTCACACACGGTCATTGCTGTTGATGACATGGTACCTTGTAATTGCGTGCGAAACTTACTCATCCATACCTACAGGACTTCTGCCTTCTCTGAGCTATCTGAGCCACTATTAGTACTAGGTTACAAGCGGAACACGAGGAGCGGCCCAAATTGTGACGGTGGCTACCCAAGTCAGACGATAGCCCCACGAACTGAACTCCTTCCCCGGGATAATCCATTCCCAGTGGCATCGCAATCATTCACTCCGCCTCGCCTGAAACCATCGTATGGTTTGCAAACATCGACATCAAACTATAACTGATTCCCCAGCCATACGAAGAAGAAGTACTAGATTATACGATAATATTTTGAGAAATCCTCTTTCCACTTAGTTTGTTAACTTTAGAAAATAATGCATCAGTCGTATCACTTTCCGTGTCCTCTGCCAGATATTTTCAATAGTCATACCGACTCCGAGTCATGTTCTTATCTTATGTTTTCAGAGCGACTTCACTCCAAGGAGCTTGACATCGTTAAAAAAACGGTGATTGAGATGACAGGTGCATGCAAATAGTGAGAAATTAGTGACTGCGATAGAGGATACTTCCGGATCATGAAAACGCAGGGGAGGGACTGGAAGTAGTGGAGGGGCGAGGGGAGGGAAGAGAAATAAAATGGGCAAAAAGAAGAGGTGAGCCTTAAGAGAGGAATGAGGTCAAGGATGGAGACCGCTTAATGTACATGGGGAAGATTATTCCAGTGGAGGTGTGCATGGTGGAAGAAGGACCGAACACGGGGTTGGTGACAGGCAGAAGAAGGCACAGAGAGACACAGAGAATAAGGGGAACGAAGATTACGAAAGAGGACATAGAAGAAGATGAGAGAGGCAAGATAGGGTGGGGAAAAGCCATGGAATTTGAGAAAAGACAGAAAAGGATAGAGGGCGATAATTGCCAGGAATGGTGGAGTCAAGAGAAGGTTGTCTTAGGATGGGAAAACATATTTAAGACTTAAAGTGGAGGGGAAGATGCCATTGGAAAGGAAGGAGTTAACAGGGATGCGTGGCAGGGGGGGGGGGGTACGGGGGAAGAGGCGAGGAAGAAGGGAGGCGGGAATGGGATCAAGGGGGGAAGAGGTGGGCTGAGTTTTGACCATGACCATGGAAAGCTGAGATGGAGATGTTTGGGTGAAGGTGGAGAGATCAACGACAGTGACGCAGGGAGGAGATGGAAGGGCGAGAGATAGAGAAGTGGGCGGAGGGGCAGACAGGACGGATGACCGAATGCCTTGTCACCCTAAGCCTCTATCCTGCCCTGCCGTTCTAACGATCAATCCTGAGCAATGTTGACGTTTCCCGGATTGAATTCATATTGGGGTTGAACGCGTATACCCTTGATTATATCTAACAGGTGCTGTGCCAACCACTTTGAGCGATGCGGTCTCACCAAGCGCTACAACTCCTCACCTTAAAATAATAATAATTACTTAACGGTTACACACGCGGTGAGCCGGCGACTCGGCAGTGGCAGCCGAGTTGCCCCACCCCACATATGCTCGAATAGTTCACTCCCCATATCAAGCAGCGGTGCTGTACGACCGTATCCCGCAGCTCCGATTAGCACGGTTGGCCACGTACGGCGCGAAAGAAGTTCAGCATACGTACAAAAAGCACCGCGTACGCACCATACATTGTGCGTGCCGATAACAGTGATGACGATAACGACGTGGCGCTAATTTCGCCCCCATGAATCTTCTCCACGTACCGAGCGCACAGATGTCGGGGGAGGGAGGGTGGCGGCCGTGCCTCGGGAAGGGTGACGGGAAGCCACGACTCTCGCTCGCCGCGAGTCCGTGGTGCTGCAGCTGCTGCAGCTCAAGATTCGCGTGGAGCGTCTGCCAGACCAACTGGCAGTGCGATGGACGTGCAGCACCCGCGTGCGTTTCATTCTTAATCGACACGTGCCACTCCTCTTGTGGGGCATCATGATGGCCACTCGGACGCAGAATATTACGGAGGTCTTGGTAACTGTGATGGTGTTGGTTCTCGTCTGAATGATGCTGCTCGTGCCGCTGGTACTGCTGGCGTTGGTGAAGTTGCTGCTGCTGCTGGGGGTGTTGTTGGCAGTGGTAGGCGTGGGCCTGGATAGTCTCGCATTCGGCTCCGGGTGAACTCGCTCGGGGGACCTCACTTTCTAGGTCCCTTGCCTGCAGAGCGCGGCCCATGCAGTTGAACTCCGTGTGGAGGTGAGGGCCCGAGTTGGCCAAGACAAAGTCGATATCCACGTAGCGACTCAGCTCTCCATCGTCGTTGTCATCATCGACGCCCCAAACAGGCCAGAGACAGCTTTCAAAATCTAGGTTCTGATGAAACAAAAACAGCAACATCGCAGGATTCACAGCTTCGTGGCATTTGTCCACAATTCTCTCGCTACGATGACATTAATGAGCAAATTCCGATTGCCTTAGACAGCTGGTGGAACTCTCTCTAGAGCGCCCATCTAGGGGGAATTTGTTTTACTCTTTCATGCTGGACCGACGTATCAGAAGAAGCGAGAGTACCCACACTTTACCCAGTGCCGGATTATCCTAGTAGCAAAAGTAGCTACATATGTAGCTACGGGCCCCGCACTTTCAAGGGCCCGCGCTAAATGCTTTCAAGCTATTAATTTCGGTTAAGTGATTCTGCACTTGCTCTATTACTATAGTACTATACTGCCTTCAACTTTTATGACCGACTGGGTGTTTAAGGTTAGCGATTTGTCGTATTATCTGGCTGTATAGCAAATGAAAAATACAATTACTTTGCAAGTTAAAAAGTTAAGTGTTTTAATATTTACGTGTTTTGTTTTGATTTAGGGCCCCTTTATAAGAACATATGCTACAGGCCCCGCACAAGCTTAATCCGACATTGACTTTACCCCCAGCACACGCGACCTCCCGAAATCACTGTAGTGTATTTAATCATACTGCTGGATAGACAGAGGCGGGGGTGATTTCAGACACTTGCACAACTTGTTGCGAGTGTTGCGCCGAGGCAAAGAGTCGAAACCGGCGACCTCTGGTCAGCAAGTTGCAACGTGCTGACCATCACACCACGGCGCAATTCCAGATTGGTATGTGGCTCACGTAGATATGGCGAATTGCTCACATTGCTCGCCCGGTCCGGAGGTGACTCCTCGCATTGCGCAGGGAAGGACGTCCATGCGGCCGGGAAGACGGTGGCCATGGCTTTCAGCAAGCGCCTCGTCCACAGCCACTCCCTCTACAAGCATCCAGAAGCACACGCCGGTGCACCGGCCATCGATAAGCCGAAGGTCGGCAGCGAGCGAGGGCAACGTGGCCGGTGCCACACCTTGGCGGCAACGTGGCTCTGGCTGGAGGTCACGGGGCACCCTGGGTGCTACAGGTTTGCAGATCGCGATGGCTGGCGGATGCACCACCGGTGCCAGAGTATCGCGTCTGCTCGCTGCGTTTAAAATGACAAACTTGTTTGAGCGCAGCTTACACGAACACACGCGCAGAAACACGCACCAGTATATATATAAAACACGAACATACCAAAAACGATTAACCTGCTATCCATGATGGCTTACACTACGCGAATACTGTGAGCATGCATGTAAGGTCGCATGACAAAGCAAGTGGTGGGGCCAACACCACACTCGGCCGCCAATGTGTCTCGAGCCAAACAAATTATTTGGTGATACTGCATCGGCAATGGTGCACAAGCACAAATAACTAACAAAACCAATCTGAACACGTTTGTCAAGCGTACTGCCTTCAGAGCTGAACGGCTATTGCTCGACACGTCGCTTTTTCTATATTTTTAATTTTAAGGCAGTGCTATTGACGATAGTATTTCCTTTTTGTCACTGTAGTATTGATGTAAATATATAGAGGCATGGCAGCATAAATTCATGCCGATTCAACTTGAATGATGATAAGGCTATATGCTACGATACACTTTGTACGCCGTGGTCAGGATTTGAACCCAGGTACGGAATTATGAGATGATGTGAACCATCGTGACACCGTTCGGACACTCACCACGTGCAGAAATTTAACTCGCGCACATACATAAGGTGGACACGCAAGCTAACGGACCCAGTATCGCGACAGATGCACACAGATGCACACAGCGCAACAAGAGCATGCTCATTGTGCACAAAAGCTCCCACCCCAAACCCTAAGCTGAACAGCACCTTGGCTCGTGATTGGCCATTCACATATAAACGAACACCCAATTCAACTAAATCGGTCAAATAGATCATTCCAAAAGCACAAACACATTGTTCTCAAATGCGTTTTTCTGGCAGGGCTAAGTTTTCACTCGATATTTTCCGGAACGCCGCTTCGGCTGTCTTGTCGTAGGGATGATCAGCGCAAGGCACTAACCACGACAGTACAAGGTACGCAAATATATAAAACAAAATCCCACATAGTTTTAGCCAATACTCATATATAAAAAATGGAAACTACTGTGCAATCAAACTAAACAAAAAAGATATGAACGAAAATTGTCTCTTGCCAACTTAATTCCCAGACCAATGTTCTGGCCTGTTCCAGATGAAGTTTGGCATGGCTTTCGTGCCGTTGCACCTGTTCGACACGATGTTCAACGTTTTAGACACCGGGCCTTGTCGCTCCCGGACATCGGACTGGAGAACACCGCAGTACAACCCGACGCGCATCGGTGAGCTGTACAGCACAAGCGCGGAAACCGACGCATGCCCTCTTCAGATGTCCCCATTAACCTGACACCTAACGCAACATTTTAGGTATGCGAATGCTCATATACGGATTTGATTAACTCTCATTCACAAACTAAACTTGAGCCTGCGGTATTCGCGGAAAGTAACGCGGTCTGGGTAAAAAAAGAAAAACATGTACCTTTTGTTTCTTTGTTCAGTTTATAAGTGACTTACGACAACGAATACGTGCGCAGTGTGTGCTGCTGCTGCTCGCACACTCTGCGGCGCCGCGCTGTCTTGCACCTCACAATGTATAATAACCATCACGTGACCAGACAACCTCCATGACCGTCACGGCGTGGGGAGGTCTTCATCCAGCAGTAGATTAAACAAGGACGGTACATATATTATCCGTGCGGATGGGGAGGGGCGGATGGGGGAATGACGGGAGGGCGTCTTTCATGCTCAAGCAAAAGCAACAACGGGGGATTTATTACTATTTATTATTTTCGTTTGTTTACCCTTTAAATCCTCACTATCAAGACAATTTCTCAGGATTGACATGCGTTCCCCAATTAAGTAATTTCCATGAATGTTTCCAAATGTGCCAGATTTGATGCCGAAACCACAATGACCTCCTCCTCCTCCTCGAATAACGTCCTCTGCAAAGTTCCACTGTGAAGCAAATGCTGCGTATTTTACAGTAAATAATCGGCAGCATTAACCAGGGCGGTCTTCCGGAACCGACTCTCCAAATTGTGCAACAAGCGGTGAACGCGACACCGCCGGGCCGTCACTATCCCGTGTGCCTTGGTTTTAGTGTTTTAGTATTTTAGAGTCCGTTCAGCAAGCTCCGCACACGTTCCAAATGCTTAATGTCAGGCGTTATATGAATGATCATGGTATTCTACTTGAATTCTTCATTTTGGTTATACATCTATTCATACAATGCCGATAAAGCCAACTACTAGCCAGCCTGGCAGTGTTCTAGACGATATTGAAGGAGAAATTAGGTGTCGTACGCGTGACCCGTAATGTCTTGTGGAAATTAGAGGATTTCGTCTCGTCTACAACGAGTCAGAGACCTGTATTTTGCTCTTTCCCTGCGAGGCTTCTTTTTGTTGTTGTTTACTTGAGTAAAGGCAATTTCTCAGTTGTCCCAACTTACACGGGTGCCTATGTTGTGCTGTCTGCACTTCCGATGTGTCGAAAAGTTGGACACCACTCGCCTAGACGCGAATAGATATTTTGGTTGTTTACGGCAATCGTTGAAACGCGGTGAAAAAAACGAAGAAGTTTGGGGAAAACAAACCAGCTGATCAGTTGTGCTCGTGCCGGCTCCGCACCTGATGAAAAGGTTCTATCTCTCTCTGGGGACAGTCATTGTAAACCGTGAGCGCTTTGACAGATCGGCCCCGGTGACGCTCGATTTCCCTCCCAAAGCCGAAACGAAGTTCGGGGCAAACACGGTGGCCGAGCCGTGCCCAGCAGAAAAAAAGAGCTGTTTGCATAACGGAGCGCGGGCGAAGGGAGACACGGGGAGACCCTGAGCCGTTTACAGACGACGCGCTCGCCCGTGACGAGCCCTCGCCGTTCGGGGAGGGCTCCCGGTGCCGTGGTCACAAAGCGGCCGCACGCCAGCGGAGCGATGCGCACACACGCAGCGTAATCTATCTCTCTCTCTATATATATAATTGGAATATAGGTTTTTTTTGGGGAAGGTTTGATCGCGTAAATGGAAATGTGTCGTTAAACCGGCCACCACCCGACACGGCCAATTAGTAAGGGTTGTCACGTAAACAGAACGTGGCCAATTCGTTGCTAGTACAGCACACCGGTGTGTTGGAGAGCAAATCCACAACATTTACAAACTGAGTACGACGTTTCGCCAGTAATTACAACTAACTTCATCAGGCGATATCTTCCTGTTTCGTTCCTTAAATAGAGGTATAGATGTAATGACATCATGGGGAGGGATTAATGACTACGTATGAGTTACAATGTGTATCCATTGACGGTTGACTTATTCATATGGTAATCAACGTGCAGTATGCATGCACACTGTTCTTGTACCTCCTGTCGTTTTCGTGCAATAAAATAGCAGTACCTGTGATTGTCTGCGTACAGGTAATCCCCATTTATGTACGGTGACCTGTATAGGCATGCATTTAAACAACGTATTATTTGATACGTGTTAAACTCTCTATCGCTGTCTGTCTCTTGAATCAGCGCTGCCCACCACGTCATGTGGAACGGGCCTTCAAATCATCGGGTGTAGGGAGCATTTTTTTCAAATTTGTATTTTGAACTGAGGTAACATTGGTCAAGTTGGAAATACGTAATTCAACCTGCACGAACCCAAACTAATTTACGTTCAAGATTTATAAAGCATAATAAGGTAATCTAAGAAAAAATACTAAGCAGTCTCTGAGCATCAGGGGGGCAGGAGGGGGCTGGAGGGGGGCTAACACCCCCCCCCCTCTGTCCCCCGTTGAAGAAGGCTCAGCCCCCCTCCTAAATTATTAGTCAATG